TTGACGATATCGTTATTAACTCCAGAAATCCTTCACTTAATGGAACGCAGAAGGTTAATTAAAGGAAATAAAGATGAGTATAAAAAAATGCAGGCTTACATCAGAAGAAAAATAAGAGAAGCTAAAGAAAAAGAAGCTGTAGAGAAATGTAAAGAAATAGAAAGACTACAAGCCAAGCATGACAATTTTAATGTACACAAAAAGGTAAAAGAAACGTTAACTGCGACTTATACGCGTGCTTGATCGACTATGAAAAGGCATTTGGCAGAGTTCAACATCAAAAAATGATAAACATGTTAAAAGAGGCAGACCTAGATGACAAAGACCTCAGAATAATTTCAGAACTCTACTAGAATCAGACCGCATATATGAAAATTAACGGAGAAGAAACAGATCACATAAAAATACTACGTGGATATAGACAGGGATGTATCCTATCGCCGTTGATATTTAATATGTACTCAGAGAAAATTTTTAACGAGGCTCTTTACTGAATAGACGAAGGCATCCTTCTAAATGGTGAAAGAGTAAACAATGTTAGATATGCCGACGACACCATGGTGATAGCAGATAGTTTAGAGGGACTTCAGAGGCTAATGGACAGAATAAACGAGTACAGTCAACAGTACGGACTAAACATTAATACCCACAAAACGAAACAAATAATTATCAGCAAGGAGAATATAAACGGGGCTCATCTATACATTAACGGGACGCAGATAGAGCGAGTAAAATAGTATTGTTACCTGGGAACTATTATTAACGAACAGTGGAGCAATTTACAGGAAATAAAGTGCCGCATAGGAAAGGCAAGAACGGTCTTTAACAAAATGAGCGCCATCTTCAAAAGTCCCAACATATCCCTTGATACAAAAATGAGACATTTGAGATGGTATGTTTTCTCTGTGTTGTTGTACGGGGCGGAGGCATGGACGCTTACAGACACCACTATTAAAAAACTTGAAGCATTTGAGATGATGGTATTTGAGAAGAATGCTGAGAATATCATGGACAGCAAGGATCACGAACAAGGAAGTTCTAGGAAAAATGAAGAAGGAACCAGAGATTGTGTTTACGATCAAACGCATAAAATTGCAATATCTGGGATACGTTATGAGAAATCAGCACCGTTACTCCCTGCTACAGTCTATATTGCAAGGTAAAGTCAAAGGTAAGCGAGGACCCGGTAGAAGGAGAATCTCATGGCTTCGGAATTTAAGAACATGGTTTAAGAAAACCTCAACGGAGCTGTTTCGAGCCGCAGCGAGCAAGGTTATGATTGCCAATATGATTTCCAACATCCGAAACGGATAGGTACCAGAAGAAGAAGACGAAGAAGATCGTTATTAATGAGAATGGTATTGGAAGACACTCGATATCTATTGATATTCGTAGATGTGATTAGTTTTTATGAGAGGTAAGTGGCCAGTAATAAGGTCAAACTGCTCATTGTGATTATTTTAATTTGAAATAAATAGTTGTATGGAACCAACTGAGTCTTCTCAAAAAAGAAAAATAGCGGACGAAGACCTAGTAGTGTCTGGGACAGTACTCTTCCACAAACTCAGTCAACGACAGACCTACTTCAGAAATGCGACACTGCTATAGGCAAACCTTGATTATCTCTCCACTCCTGTACTGGAGAGAGGTCATGTCCTAACCCAATCCCTACCCAAAACCTACCATATTCTACCACTACAACCCGCTTAAATACCAAAACCTCCTCAGAATGAACAGACATCTAAAAAAAGAGACCTCGCTCTTCGGCAACTCGCTCGCTCCCAACCAAGTAGGTAGCGGTAGGATTCAAGGACATTCAACAGAGGATGCGAAAAATCTGCTGGCTACAGAAGGCTACTTTGAACTCAACGTGGGTCATAGCCTCCTCAAGAATTTCTCTCCAGTACGATCCATGACGTTCCTCCACCAAGCACGTATTCCCATATTTATGATTTCTTCATCGATGTTATCATGAAACCTTGTTCTAGCTTTTTCTCTTCTTTTCTGACCAATGGATCTATCAACGAACGTTTTTCTAGCTGAGTCATCATGTTTCATCTACATTGCGTTCTTTACTCAACTCAGACGTTCTATCTTAACATATTTTACAATATCTAGTTCCTGGTATATTCTATACTAGTCTTCTCCACGCTCTTTGTCATTCACCGCTCTATATTTTCATTACTTGTTGAGTCCAGGTCTCTCGGCCAAAGGAATTATTGTTTTGTAGAGTTTTACCTTTGTATTTCTCGATATAATTAAGGATTTAAGAAGGAGATTGAGGCTAAAATAGCATCTGTTGGCCGTGTAAATTCTGCGATATATCTCTGCGCTAGTATTATTCTCATTATTGATGAGCGCTTCCAAGTATACAAATTCGTTAACTGCTTCAATGACGTGGTTTTTCATGTATTTAGTTTTGTTGGTGTTTATTTTGTTTGAAAAAATTCATTTTTGTAGACAATTCTTTTAGTACCACATACGCCTCTTGTATAGAGTTTTCCGTTCTCCGGAAAAAGGGTGTGGTGATTGTACTTTGTGACGTACGTATTACTTTTTTAGGGTCAGATTAAACAGGATGGAGGAGAGAGGGTCTCCCTTTTGTTTTAAAAGGTTCCGCCAGTTCCCTTTGGATTCGTACTCTACATTTAACTTTTAGGTGAGTTAGTTTTGTTAAATTTACGAACTGATTTGGTGCTCCTAGCTCTGTCATTGCTCCGAACATTTCTTTTCTATTTACATAGTCGTATGCTGCCTAGTGATCTATAAATATGTGATGAGTAATGATGAGTTGTCATATTTCAATGTGTTTTCTAAAATTTGTCGTAGGGTTGCAAACTGATTAATTCACCACCTTTGAAACCAATCTGGTATTTTTCTATTTTTGTTCTGCATATGGTGTCACAGGGTAACACAGTATAGTGGAGAATATTTTTTACGCTGCATTTAGAAACATAATTCCTCTGTGGCTAGATCATTCAAAGAAATTTAATTTCTTGTGTATATTGCAAAGTATTCCAATGTATAAATACGGGGGGGGGGATTTATGTATCAGAGCTGCTTTAGTGCCTATCATGGCTACTGTCTTTACATAGTTCGGCTGAAACATTATCTATTCTGGGTGATTTGTTTGTGGCTAGTTTTTAACTTCAAAAATTGTTGGTGATTCCTTTTCTCTTTCATCGGTTCCGCTTACTTTATCTCTTTCGTTTTCCAGGATTTCCTTTTTTTTTCTTTGTATTAAGTGCTTGTTTAAAGTATTAAATCCGTCGATTCACTTATTTCTATGTTTTTAATAGATCACCATTTAGACTTCTGAAGTAGTTTGTATTTGCCTTGAATTATTTTCTGTTGATGTTAACTTTCTATATACTTATAAATGGTATAATATACAAGAAGAACCTTATCGACAAATGTGAAAATGACGAAACTAAAGGAAAAACTTAAACTTGTCAAATAGGAAATTATAGGTATTGGTGAAGTCAAAAGAAGAGGTGAAGATCAACTCAGTCCAAAACCAGGTAACATCTTTTTCAATGTATTTAAACGATATATATCAAATTTCGCTTTCAGTTAATTTTCTCATTTTCTTTCTATTGTAAAAATGTAAATTTTTTTCAAAAAGAAGTAGTAAGGGAACATAATTAAAAATGCAAGAACATAAAAACATTTGGATTATGAATATGTAGCGAATTTTTTGCCATTAGATGTGTGCATATCATGCAATGTCTACCAATCAGTACATCAGGACACTCGTGAAAAGATGTTAAATAATAGTAGTATCTCAAATATCTCTTCGCTAATCATACTGGCTCTTAATAATAATATTGAAAAAACTGACGTTCTTGATCGATAAAATCCCAATGAAAAAAAGATTATTTCACAATCTTACTGAGCACAATATAATTATTGGCATATTTTACAATAATACGCCAGATTTCCTTGAACAAAGCACTTACGTTAAGAAAATTGTGCCTATTTTTGATCAAATTACTAAGTAAACTAAGCAATATACTTTTACAATCATACAGTTCTTCACACGAATGCTATTTGCAACTTCTTAAAAGGTTCAAGATTAAAGTTTGGGAAACAATAGTGATAATTTAATTTCTAAAGTCTAGCTTTTCTGTATTACCTATCAGAATGTTAAAAATTATTGAACAAGCTTTCAAATTATTGTTTATCAAATAAACTTTATAAATTGCTTTTTATTACAAATGATGAGAAATCAATAGTCAGCATTATCTAAGTTTTTAATTAAATGATTGTATAAATAACTTATTTAAGATATTTAGATTTTTTAAGAGCTTATTTATACATCTACCTTCAAATCAATTTTTAGGTTTCAACGATCAGACCTTATCGTAGCAAGAGATCTTTTTAGTGACTGTAATGATTTCAGCAACAGTGTAAGGATTTTTTGATCCATACTTTATGGAATTTTCATTAAGCTTCAGTTTCTAGTACCTATGTAAAGAGGAGGAATAAAGGAAGTATTACCTCTAAAAACACAGAGTTCAGCTGGCCGGGCTGATAGCATTCTATGAGAGCGCCTTGTCTAGGTTTAGAGACGAAAACCACAACGACGATAAAGGCGGATGAGAAGAACATTCGAGATGACTAATTTGGTGAAAATAGCAGCCTTACATTTAGGCGTAGTAGACAAGCATATACTGATGTAGAACAACAATAGCACCAGTACCAAGTTAAAGCGTATAGGAAATCATTCTGGCCTGGCTTATTATTGGATACTAGAAGACATAACTGTAGCAGTTTTAATGAGTACTAGACTGCTTTCAGGAAAGTAAGTGAAAGTACCTCACTACGAATACCTAGAATTAACATGGCTATATCCAGAAAAGAACAAGTTACTGATTATGATTGATGGATGCCAAGATATGGCAGGGCGAAGATAAGTTATGTAAATATGTCCCTATGTCATAATTAAGCCAAATACCTGTTTACACAGAACACATAGTTTTACAATAAATATATCGACATGAAACGTAAGCAGCATCGAAAACTATAACAATATAGAGAAAGACATAAAAAGGATGAAAGATACTGGGTATAAGTCACACCTGATGGTCAAACATAGGCGAGCTTTCTATAAAATCTTCATTAAATTATCACTTTTCATCTTACAGTATAAGATTATGCTAATATACTAATTAAAATAATCATTACAGATTATTTTAAAACTTTATATTTCAAATACTAATCTCTTTTTAAAATAATATCTTTCTTCATTATCAATGATGGCTCATGTAATACTGTTAGTCTGATAAGTAACACAGCAAAAATTATAGTCTTTATTTTAAAACCTACATCTAGTTATTTCCATTTAGGCATTTATTGATAAAGTTGTATACAGTTTTAAGATAGCTATCCCTATTTTCAGCGAGATGTTTAACATGTAAGCTCTTGTCATAACAGACGCTGGTTATATCAATTCCCATATTTTTCCTGTAATTAGAGAAGTATTCGATATCCTAGAATATAGAAAAAATATTAAAGCAATTTATAGTAACAACAAAATTAATTAAATTAAAACTCGGAGGTAGTACGAGTTGCCGAAGCTCACACTGCAATAAAAATCTGAGAAACGTCCACTGTTTTCTGACGAAAAAGTCGGAAGTTCTAGGAATAGAACTCAGCTCTGCCAACAAATCCTACTCTCACGTCCTCGAAGGCAATACGCCGCGTAACCAATGGGTGCATGGCGCACAATGGGTGTGCGTTATGTAGCTGACGAGAGAGGGTGAAAGGCGAGTTTCTGGCGCCTTAAAACTGGAACATATCGGCTATGGGAATAAACCCTGACAGAAAATTGGTCTTCAACCAGGTTAGCACCCTACTGTAGGACTATAAACCAGCCAGCTCAAAAAAACAGGTTAATGCCTCGGAACAGGACTGAATCTACGACGATGACCAATGCCAGAAAAAGGACAACGAATTCATGGAAAACGAAAAACATACTCCGAATCGGTACTTGGAACGTAAAATCCTTGAACAGCAGAGAACAAGAAATTACTAAAGAACTAACGAAGAAAAATATAGATATATGCGCACTCCAGGAGACCAAGAAAAAGGAAAGGGTCAAATTATGCTAGATAATTACTTGTTGATTTACAGCGGCGTGGCAAAAGAAACCAGAGCTAAAGAAGGAGTCGCCCTACTTTTACACAAGAAATTCATTGACCAAATAGAGGATTGTAAATACATTTCACAAAGAGCAGTTTACGTAAAACTCAAACTAAATGATAAGTCTCTACACATAATAGCCATTTATGCTCCAGAGAACAACAGAGACGCAGACACAAGAGAAAGCTTTCTCGAACACCTCCAAAACACGATAAATGAGGTCCCTAAAAATGAATTTATGATCGTTACGGGCGACTTTAATGCCTGTGTTGGCAACGACATCGTACCAGAGATAAAACAGCGTCATAACGAAGACATCAGAAATGAAAATGGAGATCTCCTCACGGACCTATGTAGCACGAATGAACTACGCATCAACAACACTTTTTTCCCTCATAAGGAACAATACAAATACACATTCGAAAATACAATAGGTCAAAGGTCAATGATAGAATACATCCTGATGAACAGGGTAATACATCCCTCTCAAGTATTGGACATAAAAGCACTAACATCTGCAGAAATAGGAAGCGACCATAAGCTTATACTTGGAAAAATCAAAATGACGACACGCATATGTAACAATAAAAACAATAAAAATAAAAAAGAAGAATACACCACAAAGGTAAAAGTCGAGAGTCTGCAGAACGAATCAACAAAACTTCTATACCAAAAGAGAGTCAAAGATAAACTCGACAACGTGCACATCGTAGAAAGTGATGGAATCGAAGAAAGCTGGGCGAAAATTAAAGCAAGCATCCTAGATTCAGCAAAAGATGCTGTAGGAGAAAGGAAAATTCTTAAAAATAAATATTTCCAAAAGCGGAAAACTCCGTGGTTCTGCGCAGAAGTGAAAGAAAAATGCAAAGAAAAAAGAAAGCTTACTTAAGATACATGTCTAACAAAACACCACAAGAATACAACAATTACAAAAAGATAAGAAACGAAACAATAGCACTAGTAAGAAAAATTAAAAACGAACACTGGGAACGCTTCTCAAAAGAAATGGAACACGACTTTTACGGTCTACAAAAGGAAATATGGCGTTTCATAAGAGGCCAAAGATCAGAGATGAAAGACTTAATCGAACCGAAACACATAGATAACGACACATGGATTGAATACCTAAAGAAGCTTTATAATGATGAACAGCAAATGATGTTAGAACCAGAAATACCAGAAATCATTACAAACAAGGAAGTCGAGATAACCGTACAAGAAGTAAAACAAACTTTAGAAAAACTGAAGAACAGAAAAGCAGCAGGTAAAGATGGAATTCCAAATGAATTATTGAAATATGGTGGAGAAGCAATAAGAGAACAGCTAACAGCACTAATTAACAAAATCATCAAACATAATTAAATACCTGAAGAGTGGAAGAAAAGCGAGCTTATCCTACTATACAAAAAAGGAGATAAAAAACAACCTGAAAACTACAGAGGTATCAACTTATTAAACACCACTTTGAAGCTTACAACCAAAATATTGCAAGGCCAAATAAATCAGAGAATTACCTTAGCGGATGAACAGCAAGGTTTTCGCACAGGAAGATCGTGCACACATGCAGTATTCATCATAAAACATATTATCGAGAAAGCACTAGAGTATAATAGACCAGCATTCATATGTCTAATAGACCTGAAGAAAGCGTTCGATCAAGTAAAGCTTAAAGATGTAATTCACCTTCATTACGATAGAGAAATTCCACTAAATGTTATAAAAACAATAGAGAACATTTACCAGAACAACAATATGGAAGTCAGAATAGATGACCAGCTTACAGATCCAATAGATATGGGCAATGGAATAAGACAAGGAGACTCGCTTAGTCCAACGCTATTCAATCTAATCATGGATGAAATCATCAATACTATTAATAAAGGAAGAGGATACAAAATGGGGAACAAAGAAATCAGAATACTCTGCTATGCAGATGATGCGGCCCTAATTGCATCCAATGAAGACGATCTACAAAGACTAACCCATAGATTCAACACAGGGACAAAGGACTTTAATATGGTGATCTCTACACAGAAAAATTAAACAATTGTAATCAGTAAAGAACCAATTAGATGTAAACTGGAAATCGACGGTATCAGCATTGAGCAAGTAATGGAGACAAATTACCTAGGAATTACACTGTCTAGCTACGGAGATGTGGAGAAGGAAGTGAAAAATCAAGTACAAAAGGCTAATAAAATAGCAGGTTGTCTTAATAACACGATATGGCGCAATCCCCACATTAATACCGACGTGAAATCAAGAATCTACAAAGCAACAATAAGACCAATAATGACATACACTTCAGAGAAAAGACCGGATACCTCCAAAACTCAGCAACTACTAGAAACAGCGGAGATGCGTTTACTGAGGAGAATAACAGAAAACACACTGAGGGATCGAATGAGGAGTGAAGAGATCAGAAGAAAATGCAATATACCAGAAATAAATGAGTGGACATTGAACAGAAAAAAGGAATGGAACGAACACATAAACAGAATGGAAGAGACCCGATTAGTCAGAATAGCGAGGGACAAATCACCAAAAGGTAGAAGAAGTATCGGGCGACCACGCAAAAGATGGAGTGATAACCTCCAATAGAGGCATTAATCGACATTGAACAAGCATTTTGCTTATAAAAAAGAAGAACAAAAAGAAGAACAAAATTAATTTAATGAATTAAATAGATGAAACTGTCGAACAAAAAACCGAACGAAAAATAAAGACATTTTATGTAGTAAAACAGTAAAAAATTGACAAAAAAACTGTCGCGGGTATGTTTCTCCTGATCTTCCTATCATGTCATCGATCCGTCCTCCCAGCATCCTTTCGTACAACTTCCCAATGAATGAAAATTGTCATATGGGGCAATACTTCTCCACAGTTTTGGGAGGCAGTACCAACCTTGATGTCCTCCAAGCCTCAGTGAAAATCTGTTCTTTAAGCAAGGTATTCATGCGCTTCAAAAGCCACCAAAGCTCCACGCCTGGGCTCTTTACCGCTTCGGACGGTATTTGTTCTATTCGGGGATCTACGCGTCTAAGTACAGCAAATGCCACGATTATTTCATCCATGGTAAAGGGTACGACCCACTCAGCTCCCTCGTTCCTCCACACTTCATGCCATCTGCTGGACGGAAAAAGCTGTCCTGTCACCTCAAGTATTTTATCTAGTGACATTTTGTATGAGGGGTACGAATGGAGCTTTTTCATTGCGATCCTATATCCCTGACTAAAGATGTCCTCACCCAGGTTGTCATACCTAGGTATTATATTTTGATTTGCTGGATTTGCTCGATGATAACAGAGTTTATTCCTGCTCTGGTTTTTTATCTTTTTCCTTGGTACTTTGCATTCATCTTTGAGCTCTTCGATGCACTCTAGTCCAAAAAACCTGAAATGACTCTTTGGAAGATACCGAAGATTGAACTGACATTTTACTTATTACAAAGAATAAAGACCTTGTAGAAAAAAATGATAATACCTACTATAGTTTGAAAATTAATTTGGTATATAGAATACTAACTTTGTAGTAAATCAAGTCGTCATTTTTGGAGTAAATAAAACACTGCGGCCATCGGTGCTTCTCGTTTTTCAAATTTTCTAATGGGTTTGATTGAAAGCTTGGTCTCGGAGAGATTGTATTACTAATTACCTAAAAATAAAAATTTTACTTTTTATATAATAACTAGCTGATCCGACATATGTCGTGTTGTCTTTGCTGTACCAGTCAAAAAATGAATAAAGTCTACCCCGTGTTCGTAAATCAATATATTGTGGAGTTAGGCTTCCACATCTCTATCCCAAGTGATGTTAGATCATCATTTTCATCAAAAAGAAAAACCGATATTACTTATAACTTTAATACAAATTTTTAACGTCTTCACAATTGGATAGGTCGCCGTTTGTCACTTCCCGTAACTACTGCTAGCAGAATGATCTGATAGAATTTTTATTAAAAATATAAAGCTTTTACATATGCGGCCTCTAATGTCTGCTTACAAATAATAGTATAAAATAAAAATTGGTTTAATAACTATTCTACTAATATCACGTTTTCGCTTTTGACCGAATTTCAACCCAAAACGAAAAGTAAATAAATAAATTTAACACTTGATTACGAATTATTAAAATACTTATGGGTTTGTTTCTCTTACGTCGTACGAAAGTTTAATGGAGACTATATCAGAGAAAGCCACCATTTAAAGAAGAGAAAGTTATTGTATTAATAGAAAATAAACTTAGCCAGCGAGCTGTTGCTGTACAACTGGCTATGACACGCGCAGCTGTTCGAAAAGTTTTAAAACGTTATGAGGAGACTGGATCCTTTCGTAGATGATCTAGAACAGCTAAAAAACAATTTACAACTGCTCATATTGATCGCTGTATTGTGTTAACAATATTAAGAAATCGTCACCTTAATGCCGTTCAAGTGCAATAACAGCTCCGTAAAGTAAGATTAGTGGTTATTAATCATTGATAAACTAAGAGAACCAAATACATACCAAAAAACTCGAAATAAAATAAATCAGAGTATCTAAATAAATAAAACAACAAAATAAGAACACTACAGATATTGAAACAAAATGGAAGAATATAAAGAACACAATAGAGACTATGGGACGGAAAATCGACATATTCACAAATGCAGATGGTACCACTATAACTGAAACGCAAGACAAATTACGTAGATGGAAAGAATACATTGAACACCTATTTTATGACCAAAAAGTAGAACAATTAGAAGTTGACGGAGAAACCACGGGACCAGAAATAATAAAATGGAAGTTATTTATGCCATAAAACACACAAAAGGGAGAAAAGCTCCAGGTCCCGATGAAATACCAATTGAACTATTGAAGATAATTGATGAAGATAATATTGATGTCTTGGTAGACCTTTTTAACTTCATATACAAGACGGGACACATACCCAAAGAATGGCTTCTCTAAACTTTTGTAACGATTCCAAAAAACACAAATGCTAAAGATTGCAATGACTATCGGACTATTGCATTAATGAGCCACACACTGAAAACTTTCCTTAAAATCATACATAACAAAATCCACATGAAATTAGAACAAGAAATAAGTGATTGACAGATGGGTTTTAGAAAGGGTCTAGGAACTAGAGAAGCATTATTCGGAGTCAATGTTCTGACACAACAATGTCTGGATATGAATCAAGACATATACGCTTGCTTCATAGATTTTAAAAAAGCTTTTGACAGAGTTCAACATGAAAAGCTTTTAAGTATTCTTAAGACCAAAAACATAGATAGTAGAGATCTACAAATTATATCGAATATGTATCAAAATCATAAAGCAAGACATGGAAGTGTGATGGAAGATCTACAGTACATAATACAACATGTATACAATGCATGTGAAAGGTACGGACTGCAAATAAATCTCAAGAAAACGAAATCAATAATACAACGATCGAAAAAGTTACAACATATAAATATTTAGGAACATGGCTAATCGAAGATAGAGATCGAAGAAAAGAAATCAGACCTAGAATAGAAATGGCAAGAAACACGTTCATAAAATTGAAGAACTTACTTTGCAACCGTAACCTTAATCTAGAGATCCACACAAGAATGCTACGTTGTTACGTTTTTCTACTTTACTATACGGTGTGGACAATAAAACAGTCTGAAATCAAAAAATTAAACTCCTTTGAGATGTGGTGCTACAGAAAAATCCACAGAATATTGTGGACTGAAAAAATAACTAATATAGAGGTGTTACAAAGAATAAAGAAAGAATGTGAAGTCATAAAAATTGTTAAAATTAGAAAGATTTAATATCTGGGTCGTATAATGAGGGGCGGGTGAGAAGTACGTATTAATTAGGTTAATTATGCAAGGTAAGACACAAGGGAAGAGAAACCCAGGACGACGCAAAATATCCTGGCTAAAAAATTTGAGAAAGTGGTTCGGCTGCAGCTCATTAGAATTATTCAGAAGCGCGGCCAATAAAATTAATGACCGATGATGATTTTCAACCTCCGATAGGAGAAGGATATGAAGAAGAAGAATCAGTGGGCAGTAAGACGAAGACTCCAGAAAAGTAATTTGATTCCTCGAGTACCTGTGATTGATCAAAAACTTACTGAAGATCATAACCATTCTTAATTTCCAATCTGCTATATTTGTTTTGTCTTGTACTACACATATTTTTATACCTTCTTAAATCATTTTAGGATCCTTTCATATTTCAGTAAGAATTGACCGATTCTTATATTTTTTTTTTTCAATATTATTAGTTTGCCTTCGATCAGCGACGCTCTTACTGCAGACGCTGATCGAGGTTCTTGATATCTCGAGTCTCTGAAGGACGTTTGCAATACTGACGTTGATCAAGAAAATCGAATCAAAGAAATAATATCATTATCATCTTTATTATATACTATATCGTTCCCTATATGTACATTAGCAGATTCTAAGTTCATTTCTTCGTATTAAGTACTGTCTATTAGTCTTACTTCTGTAGCACTTTTCGGGAATTTCAATAATTCAACAATCATTCCTTCCGTCCTTTGAATTCCGTATCTCGTAGCTTGTATAGTATTTATAAAGTCAGTTGAAACATCCAAAAACCTGATTGCCGACGAACAATAAAAGAATAATATCATATTACCAGACATGGGCGCTTCATTTATTTTTATAATCAAATATATATTAATGTAGAACAGAAAAAGGACAATTTTAATTTACTTAAAGCTGTCGTAAAGTACATAAGTGTATAAAATTTTTTTAACATGTCATATTAAGCAACAAAAATAATTTATAATTAAATGGCAATAGGCTATATTGACAGTATAATGATTTAATTATACTTCGTAAAATAATAAATATTTTTGCTGTACAGCACTGGCATGCATCGGCAGCGTTTCTTATCTGTACCCTTTGCCACCGGCTAGAAGGGAACCTCCAAGTAGCGTGTTAAATATTGGTGATTTTGAATAACATATTATCAATGTCCAATATTTATTTGATGAGATGTATCTTTCTTTCATCTATTTAATACGAAGTACGGAGATTGTTCAAATACGTTTGAAAGATTGACGCGTGTTATTTATACTTTAACTTGATTACCGGTAAATGTAACATTGAACTGCCCTTATAAATCGAGTCGGAGAGAAATGTTTCAACTGACTTTATAAATACTATACTCTCGTTGACACCAAGATTCTTTTTTCTCTGTTTTTGTTTAATCGGTTTAGTTCTCCTGATGTGATTTCAATTTGTGATAATGCATTTTGTACACTGCCTGATGAGAATTAAACGGGACATTATTACGTTGTTGATTTCTATTCAATCGATTCCTTTCAACTTAATTTGGCGTTTCACATTCTACGATAGGTTTTCAGACCTAAGTTGCTACGTCTAATTGGTGGCATTTTTAACAATCAAAATTCAATTAACAGTAAAAAACTGACTTCCTTAGTATCTCTGTAAAATCGTGTATAGTGGAGATAGTGCAAGCACTCCTGACCACGGCGCAGTAGACGAAATTTGGTTTTGTCCCCACTTCCATACGAAACGCACTGTACTATACACTGTATAATTTCTCTTACAATAGAACCTTTCTGCCTTTATCTGAATTTGACTCCGTCTTCGCGCAGCTTTATGGTCAGGAGTGTTTGAACTATCTTTAAAACTTACCAATATAGAACACTTAGAGAAATGTAATTAGGGGTAGAGATAAAGCCTAGGAAAATAATTATCATAATATTAAATATAAAAATCAATAATCAGTTACCTCATATAACCATATCATCGATAAAAACATTGTCATTATGAACGAGACAGAGAAGTTATAAATTTTATTGCCTCCTATTATAGCAGATATTGCTCTAAATAAACTGAGGATTCTCCTTCGTCCAGGGGCTGAGTCAAATATTACACCTTTTATCTAAAACAAGAATGATAATTTTAAAATATAAGCAATTGCTTTATCTTTATTGCTTTAAATGTTGTAAGGTTACAAATACAAAAATTTTTGTGAGATAATACCACCACAAATCAATATTTTTAATCATATTCAGCAAAGAAAATATAAAATAAAGTTGTAAGTTGTTGTTGGAAAAATTCATTAGTTTTTCCAATGTATTTTCAACTAAAATTGTGGTTAATTCCTATTAAAGATAAAAAATATTGTTTTTTTTTTTGTTTTTCTTATTTTTATCTGAAAATATCTAACTTATACCACTGTATACACAGGGACCTAACCTAACCTAACCTAACATAACCTATCTGTATACTGTGCTCATTTATAAGTTAATTCATAATGCATAATTTACTTGAAGTGAAAAGGCACGTATAACATTTACCTGCAGGATTTTTAATCTGCAAGCCCATTTAAAAACGCTTGCTTATAAGATCTTACCGAATTGTCGACCCATTTGATTTGTGTGAGCAGCATTAAGTTAAGTTTCGTCTAAGTAACAAATTTTGCAGTTTTCAGTTCTGTAGAATTTTATTTTGACCAGAAATTCTAGTCTCCACAAGATACCCTCATCTCTGTCCTTAAAAATACTGTTTTGCTGACGATGTTGAAACTTCAAAACTTATTTCCTTCGTTTTATCGTCAAAATGTCCTGTATTGGTGTTTTCTTAGGTGAACGGAGAGTTACATCTATCTCAAGAAGTTCCTCTGCTGTATCAGAGCTTGACATTTTTGTTGTTCTATTTAGCTTTAATAAATTAAGGTAATTGCTTAAGAGAAGGCCAAAATACCCTACACGAAAATAATATTTATTGTAATAAAACTAACGTCATCAAAAGTATCGGTAAACTTATGAAACTGCATTCTGTATTCCTTTTCGACTTTAAAAAAGGAAATGAAACTTTTTGAAACATCAGTGATTTAAAAGATTGGTTTTTTATCTTTGCGCATGTTGTTTTTAAACTATTATGCTTTTGATGAATAATTACTTTGTTTTTGGAAACTAAAAGTTTAATACACATAATAAAACTTATGATATAATAATAAAAAATATGTAACTATAAAGTTACAAAAGACAAAGTTTTTTAATTTAATAAAATTAACACGCTACAATTTGAATATAATCAGAACAGTTTGGACCTGTAAAATGACAATCGTGCTCGCTCAAGGCAATAAGGTATATTTAAAAGTCTCTCGGCAAATGAAAAGGCGAATATTGTCGGATCACGTGCGTGTCAGGCCTCGATGTTTTTTTTATGTTGGGAATTTGCAATATCAATAGAGTTTATTTAACTAATTTTTGATGGTGCGACTGTATATCTTAAGTGGTATGCAAGAGTATTCTTCTATGTAAATTACAAATTTCTGAAGTGGGGCTATAGCATATTATTATATGCTATTAATTAATCTTATAACCTTAGATGCATTTTGTGAAGATTTCATATTTAACTAAATAACGAACATATGTGCATTTATACAGATGATTTAAACTGAGCTTAATGCTACAATATAGGCAAGATTTTTATATGCTTGTCCAAGTAATTCTACCAGTTTAAAAATTATAAAGGTATATTACTTACCGGCAACTGTTTTGGACATTTATCCAATGCTAAAGAGAAGTTTTGGTACAAAAATGCCCCGCCATTGGAAAAACAATGGATAATTATCGGATGGTTGTCAAAGTTCAAATCAAACAATAGTTTGACTAGTTTTTCTCCTATCGATATCATTTGATACCTTCTTAGAAACAAGCATTTTATAGGAGCCGTGTACCTCAAAGTGATGAGTCTAAAAAATATAACAATATTTTCAAAAACAATCAACATAGTAGATTACAACAGTGATAAATTATGTTTTACAATGTAGTAAAAACTTCTAATGCAATTGGTATATTTGTCAAATTATAAAATTAATGGGAAAATCCCAGTAGTTGGCTGTATACTATCGTTTAAAAAAACATACTAGAAGTTAAAACACTTCACACTTATATTGTGATATAAAAACACATGGTCACAGAATAATAAACAAACAGAATGCCCAGTCTCCACGGAAAATTAAGTACGCGCATCTCCTTTGCGCAGACGTTCCGCCATGTTTTAGGAGGATTTTAAAGGGAATCAGTGTTGTTTATGTGGTGTGCATAAAAAAATTAACCAGGTTTATTTGACTTACGGCAATCATAGACATACTATACAATTATATTAACATTGTTAAATATAATAACATAAATATAATATAATTAAACATAAATATAAATAATTACATAACCACACAAATCATATGTCTGTGTTATGTGTTTCCTCCTGAAACATGGCTCGCGAAAAACTTCAAAGGCGGCATCTGAAAGTGGCCCTTCTGATTGTTTATTATTCTGTGACATGCTTAAAACTTTTTAAAAAAAGTGTCGTCAAAATTTATGTACTAGCATAACATTTTCGATCTGAACAGATCATCTTCAGTGCCTTGTGTAATTGAAGCTAACAATAAAGTTAAAGCTGAGACCTCCATAAACCAGAGGGAACAGATCAACTATTTATTTATTTATTTAGCGTATGGACTTTCACAGTACGATAAATATACAAATACAATTACAATAATATACACATATATATTATATATATTATTCAAACACTAAAAATGGTAAAAATAGAATGAATAGAATGAATGACACTAAATATTAATGTCCAATTTACATAGCCATTCAATTGCTTCTGGGGAACATTCCGCAAAGTCCTGGAGGTTTCCACGGTAGGCACGATTCAAGCAGTTTGAAACACAATGGCTTATGGTCTGTCTAGATTCTCCGCAATCGCACTGTGGACTTTCTGCACGACCCCACCTGAACAGCGAATCAGCACATTTACCATGTCCGGTACGTATACGATTAAGCCTTGCCCAAATGGACCGGGGCAGATTTGATCCGATGAAACCCTGAGTTGGGGTGGATATCTTAATATAGTCCGATTCTACTGTTGGCATCCATCTTGTTGTCCATTGCCTATGTATATCATAGGAATTACCATTTTTTCGGGCAGATCGTATTGGAGGATTTCTAGATCTCAATCGTTGGTGCTCTTTTGAGATGTCTGGGATATCTTGATGTATTGGTAATTGTACGTTGGCTACAATTTTCTGGTACTCTCTCACTAATACTGCTGTACGGCGTAGATCTGGTGGAGCAATATTGCTCAGAGTAGGCAGCCATCTCACTGGCGTTGATTTTATTGTTCCAGTGATTATTCTCATGGTTTGGTTAAGTTAGGTAAGGGTTAACACCCCAAGTTGTTCCAGCAAGTTTTGATATTAAGTTATTTCGTGTTCTTAGTTTACCGGCTGCGTTTGTAAGATGACTTTTGAAGGTGAGTGTTCTATCAAGTGTGACGCCTAGATATTTGGGGTTGTTGTTATGTTTGATAGCTGTGTCATTTTATGTTGGTCTATGTCGTTTTATATGACAAGTACCACGTGTTAAAAATTAAGCAAGGAGACATGTAGTCTGTAAAGTAATAAAAATGTTATCCATTGTCATCGACCTAGAGTCACAACATAATTAAAATTTAAAATGTGGAATGATGTAAACCCATATATGGAGGTCTCAACGATAACTTTATTGTTAGCTTCACTTACACAAGGCACTGATTATGATCTGTTCAGATCGAAAACGTTATGCTAGTCATTAATTTTGAAGACACTTTTTTAAAAAGTTTTAACTATGTGTTTTTATACCACAATACAAGTGTGAAGTGTTTTAACTTCTGTGTTTTTTTTTATTTGTCAAATTGTTAAAATAATAAAAATTTAAATTTGAATACTATATTGGACCAAATATTTTAGAGGTAATTACATTTAAAGATCTTGGGATGTTTTTGAACCCTACAGTAAGCTTTAAGGACCATTGGTGTAAATGTTCGGTGTTATTTAGATGAGATATTTCCCGTACGATAAATTGGTAGACAAGGTAGAATTGAATGGCCTGGACGATAAATTGGTAGACAAGGTAGAATTGAATGGCCTCCACGTTCACCCGATCTCAATCCTAAAGATTATTTTTATTAGAGATACTTGAAAAATTCAGTTTACAAAACTTAACCAGCAAGTCTTGCATAGCTAAGGCAATGAATTATCGATGAATCTCGAATAATTTCTAGACAATTATGGAGAAATGTGGTAGACGCATTCTACCATCGATTAGAGTGCTGTCAACTCACAAATGGAGCTCATTTTGAACACTTAATAACGTAACTATTATGTTAAAAAATATTCTAAACTATCAATTGTTACGTTTTAATGTATTTGAAAATAGTTAGTTTAAAAAAATGTATTGAAACAATTTAGGCGTTGCCAGACTTCTGTTTTATGTATTTAAGACCTTCCAGACTACATAAAATCATAAGTGTTACATATGGTTGAACTCGTATTTAATAGGAGATTCCAATAATGACTGAGTATACAGGGTGATACATTTGAAAAACCAAAGTTACTAGTAATATAAAAGAAACTAAAAATCTGGCAACATTATAATATAAGCCGATAATTAGCCGTTTCCAGATTTTTGGGCCACTCTGTATATAATAAAATACAGATACGCTTTATAAAAAAGTGTATGAACAAAATTGAAATTGAAGAATAATTTATATTGAATAACCCCCAATAACGAAAAAGAAACATTTATAAGGAAAAGACTAATGTTTACTGTATGTGGTATAAAACTATTTTTATTTTAAATCTTCTAAGCAAAGCAGTAATTTTAAAAATAAACCCCGTACAAAGCAGATCCTTATCTGCATTATATATCCTTCCATAAATACAACACTGAAAATCAATATAATCGTATATATTTTACTTAAAGCTATTAAATAATTGTCAGTATAGCTGCCGCAAAAGTAAAATTTCAGTCTGTTAACTATTTGATAATCTCTATCATATTTTAATATTTTTTAAAAATATGAATTTAATAGCCGGCCGGAAAACCACTTACCCCTTCTCCTCGTAGATTTGCGAATATTTCGCTAAATATTTGTCCTGACATCCTGCCCAACCGAATAATAGGATCACTGGTATTTTCTCCTCGTTCACTATGAACACGAAATCATGGTCACCGTTTTGATTGTAGTTAAAATTCGGATTTGGGAATTTTATGTAATATTCCAGGTTATCCAGGTCCGCCATTTTCGTACTTAATGCGCGTGAACAATAGTTATTGATTTTGAATGGGGAAACTCTGACTTTGACGTATAATTGATGGGAAAGAAATTAGAGGTTCCAGATTAAATCATAAGCTGAAATGAATAAGAAATTACGAAGATGCTAATGGAAATATTATTTTCTAATAATAGAAATATATTTTTTATAATGATCACAAATATGAACAGAGGTAAAAAAAACGATTTCAAGAAATAAAAAAGTCTTACGTTATTATAGATTCTATAAATTAAACAGTTATATTTTATTAATATAGTTTAGCATTTAAAATGAAATGACAGCAAACAGTAAAGTAAAATGTCATTTCTGTTTTGCAATACTCAACTGCCATTTAGTGTATAGTACACACATCAACAGAAGACAGATGAGGATGTTTAAGATAATTTCTACGACACCTCTTGAGTTGCCCCCCTCTCCAACCAGGTATTATATCTATAACTCCTAAGTATAGCTATAGATATGATATGGATACTATGTGAAGACTTTTATGTCATAATGGACAAAAAACCTATCTGTAACCTGTAATAGACAAACATAGTCTCCACAATTTATACACACTGAATGTTCAATGCTATATGGCAAACTACATGAGGTTATGAGGTTAAAAACTAAATGCGGATATTATAGTTGTTACTGAAACCAAACAGAATGGGCAAGGGTCCGAAAACTTAAAAGGATATGACCATTTTTATAGCGTAGTCTCAAGAGATAAAAGGAGCAACAGGAAGTGTCTATCTTAAACAAGTCTATGACAACCTGGAAAGCTGTTAACGAACGAATTATTAAAATGAATAACGATGTAAGTATATGGAGTGAATGACAATTCACTTATCCATGACAAATACGAATTCTTTGAACAACTTAATGAAGAAATAACAAATATGGAAAAACTAGAGAACTAAGAAACCTTGGGGATTTAAAGGTGTCACTCCTAAGGTGTCACTGACAAAATCAGTAGAACTATTAACCCTGATAAATATCAAAACCATCTTCACTACTCACGTAAAGTTGTCCAATCTCATCAGATCCATAAAAGACCAAATCCCCAATGAAGACGATGATATCTAAGAGATACCTTGTTACAATTGCTCACGAACATACATAGGATAGAAGAACTGACGAATCCACAACCGCATTTACGAACATTCTATGTCTGTAAAATATTCCGTTATTACTTTAGCCCTAGCCTAACATTATATTCAGACAGTTCACAAAATAAATTTCTAAAAAGCAAAAACCATCGCTCCTATCGGCTCCTTAAAATCGAGAATTATTCGTGAAGCCATCGAAAATGAAAAACGCCCTAATAGCTTAAACACGCAAGATGACGCTAAGAGACTTCCGGTAACATGGTGACCGCTGATTCAGCGACCATTTCGCCAACCGATCCCGCTTAGTCCGTTTCAGCACATACCGTTCCCGTGTATACAGTGTGTGTAAAAGCAGAAAAGGAGCTACACAGGATAATACCAGTTGTCACTCGACTCTGAGGAGTAGGCAGATTGAGACCTCAGTGCCGTTTGGCGGTTCTCGTATTTCTAGAAAACAAGATACTGGTACACCATGAGTGAAACAAGTAGTCAGAATAAGACCCCGAACTTAAACGGAACCATATCCCTATTGATAATGGCTCCAAAAGAGGTACCGAAACGTCGAGTTTTAAATTCACAAAGCGATTTTTCCCGACAACTTAGTAATTTAATGTTCGTTTAGCTGACCGCGGAAAGAGAGAGAGAGAGAAAGATAGGGAGGATCTAAGACAGCTATAATAAAAAACATTGTTTTTCTCACGTGCAAAAACCCTTAAAAAATATTAATTATTAGTTACACTAATTTTTAATCAAACATCACAATACCTTTTAACGGAGTGTAACAACTATCAATATCACCTTACCCGTTCACTGCCACAAACTCATTATATCAGTCACCAGGACCTTGAATGCAAAATTAATGTGATTAGAAAAGTATAACTCACTACAGAAAGTATTTCAAGTCCCGCAAATTCTAAAGATAAGAGTATTCAAAGCATATAATTAGTCCTGTGAAAGTGAAGTTTAAATACAGTCTTTTGACTGTATTCGTGTCGTTGTAATAAACATGTGTCAGTTTACCAGTTGCAGAAGTTCAAGGATGTGTCAAATTCCATTAGTTATTTTAAGCAAATTACGAATATATTGCACTCACCAAGTTTTCAAGGCAGTCAATTCTAATTTTTTATGCATTGCCTAATAATTAATGTATTCCTTGTTTAAAGTGAACAAATTTGCTGGGCAGTAAATAAGAAACACCTTAAAAGATAGAGATCTTTGAAATGTGGGTCTACAAACGCGCTTTCAGAGTATCCTTGGTGGAAAGAGTCAAAAATCAGGTAGTTCTGGAAAGACTAAATATTGAACCTTTAATTATATCTACATTCTATAAAGAAGAGAAAACCTAAGTTTTTTGGCCACATCTCTAGAGACAACAAGAAATAAGTTTCTACAGTTTATAATGTAAGGAAAGATAGTAGTTGATCGAAGAAGCGTAAGACGTAGAAGAATTTCTTCTACGTAGAAGAAATATGCGGTGAGCCTCTTCGGAATGACGTGGGTTGAAAGTTTCGAAAGTCAAAATAGCCTTGGTACCATGACTATTGATGAGCAATGATGATGAGCATGATGGGGTATGAGAAGATTAATACACATTGACATGCGTGTTAATCTTTGGAGGTCCTCTTCTGTCTCGACGATTAATGAGGCGGCGTCTGCATAACATAATATTTAGATTTTTTTGTTCTCCATTCTGTAACCATGACAATTACGTACTGCTTGTATTATTTCGTCAATTATTATATTAAAGAGAAGTGAGCTTAACAAGTTACCCTGTCTGACTCCGCTTTGTACTGGTATACACTGTGTTAGTTTTCCAAGTATCTTTGCCTGTATTGGATTATAAAAGTAAGATGTTTTCGATGGTTTGTATCATATTGAATGGTATGTTTCTTTTAAACAATAGGTGAAGGAGGTCTTCGACTTGGATGCGCTCAAAAGCCTTTGTTAAGTCTATACAACATAGATATGCTGGTTTATTGTACTCGACAGACTTTTCTGTGATTTAATTTGGTACAAATACAGCATCTACGCAGGATCTTTCAGATCGGAATCCTTGTTATTCATCTAAGAAAGTTGTTAGTTTATTGTTAGTTTATTTTATTGGTTAGGTAGTAAGCTTAAGTGCGGTGTTTAGTAGAGTTTTACCTCTATAAATGTTGGGTTCTTCTTTATCTCCTTTCTTGAACATCGGTATCATTATGCTGTTTCTCCATGTGTCTGGTATCTTGCTGTCACCAGACCGTCTGGTCTGGTGACTTTCTATTCTTGAGTGAATTTATAGCTATCTCTACTTTTTGAAAACTGTTTTCTATTTCTTGTCCTAATTCAGGTACGTTATTGGGTTGAATATTATTTTCATATCATTTAAACAGTTCCGTCACGTATCTTTTCCATTCGTTTGCTGGTATGCTATTGTATTCCTTCCATTCTACCATTTTTTTCCGTTGGTTTTTTAAGAATCTCCATATTTGTTTTTGTGTACCGTAGAAGTCGCGTTCCATCCTTTTTGTAAACTATTCCCAGTGTTCATTTTTTGTTCTTCTTACCAACTGTTTTGTTTCATTTCGTATTCTTATATAGTGTCTCGGAATTCTGGAGTATTTAATATTTTGTACTTCGTTTAGGCCTCTCCTTTCTCTTTACATTTTTCTTTTGTTTGTTTTCTGATCCATGGTGTTGTGTTTATGTTGTTTCTTTTGTTCAGTTTGACTTTACGTTTTCCTAGAGATTCTACTGCTGTTTCTTTAATGTTGTTTTTAATTATCTCTCAGTTCGCGTTTATATATCTTCGATGTCGTCTATTTGTTTCTGCTGTATCTTCTGTGCTAGCTTCCTTTGGAACATTTATCTTGTGAGTCGTTTCACAGTAATTCTAGATTGAATTTTTCCTCGGTGATTTCCTGTAGAAAGTTGATGACGTGACTTCTTCGCGAAATGACAATCGCATCATGGCCTGTGTTTCTCGTTGGCCTTGTAGGTATATAAAACTATTTCTAACACATATTTATAACGAAAAACTAAATTATGTATGATATTTCTATAAATAAATTATATAAAATTCGTGTTATTTTAAGTTATTACTTTTGATTTCTTAATAAATTGAATATTCATACAATTTTTATTCATTGTACACTTTTTAAAAATTCACTTACCATAAATACAGCATATTGTAATAAAACTTCCATAAGGTTGATTAATCTCACCACATATTTTAAAAAACTATTACACCTGCAACATCACTCGTTATATTACAATAACTAAAAATATAATAGTTAATTAATCACATAATAAATTTAAAATTTTAATATATTGTAGGTAATCCTGGTTGTCTAATATTAAGTAATGAAGAGTATTAGGTATCTTTTAATATTTAATTTAGTTATTAAATAGTTTAGTTAAATAAGTTTAATATTATTTTCTTTGCTCAAACCTTGAGACTATAGAGTAGGGAAGGAATTTTACTCGTAAATTGGCGAGTAAAACTCCCTACTCTAATAGGTCAATACATCATTAACAAATTCAAGTAGTAAAATCAGTATCGTGGCTGAATGGATCAAGTTATCCAAAGCCATTAATTAAAAAAAAAAGACTCAAACAGTAACAATGCAACAGATTACTATTTTTTTAAAACTTCAGTTTTTACAAACTTAATACAAGTTTGTAATAAAAACATGCTTTAAATACCCAAAATATTCTTAAAAATGAGTACATTTTTATAAGCAACCTTTGTTTATTGCATAAAGCTTGTGAACACAATTAAAATAAGAAAAACATCGTACCTGGACCATATACCTCGGAACGATAAATCATCATCATCATCATTCAGCCCATACTCGTCCACTGCTGAACATAGGCCTCCCGTAGTTCACCCCACAAATTTCTGTCCTGAGCCGCCTGCATCCAATTTTGATGTGTCCGTTTCAGGTCATCCGTCCATCTTGTTGGTGGTCGTCCTCTATTTCTAAAGGCATCTTGTCTGGGTCTCCACTCAAGAATGCGTTTTGTCCATCTGCCGTCCTTCGTTCTCGCGACGTGCCCTGCCCAGTTCCATTTTAAGGTTGATATTCTTTTGATTGCGTCGGTTACTCCCGATCTACGGCGCAATTCTGTGTTGGGTATTCGGTCTCTTAGGGTTAATCCCAACATGGACCGTTCCATTGCCCTCTGTGTTGTTCGAATTTTGTTTGCGGACGTCTTAGTAAGTGTTAGCGTCTCCGCACCATAGGTTAGAACTGGCAGCACACATTGATCGAAGACTTTTCTCTTCAAGCAGATGGGAAGGGCTGATTGGAAAACATCTCTTAGCTTTCCATAAGCTGCCCATGTCAACCCTATTCTACGTATTAGTTCATTGGTCTGGTTATCTCTACTTAAGCGAATTTCGTGTCCCAGATATTTGTATGCTGATGTTTGTTCTATACTTGTTCCAGCTATGTTGATGTTCTCACTCAGAACAAGGTTTGTCATCACTTGTGTTTCGAACGATAAATATCGGAACGATAAATACTATCCGCTAAACTTCGTCATGTAAGGAGGAGGAGGAAAAAAAGAAAGAAGAAATCTTGGCTGAGGAATATCAGAGATTGGATTAACCTCAGTGTTAAACATATATTTCACGTTACAAAAGGGAGGGCCGTTTAAAGATGCGATCGCCAATCTCCGTTAGAAGACGGCACAAGAAGAGGAAGGACCTTTGTTTTGTATTTGACTCAAGGTACAAGATTCCTGTCCTAAGGTGCATGGGCATCGTGTAACATGGACCATTTGACACAAATTTTATTTTACGCTTTTTTTGAATACTCATATCAAATTAAATTATCGCAAACTATACAAGAAAGTTCAAATTATAACTACAGCCATTCAATATTCTGAAATTTAGTTAAAATTATGAATAAAAAAATTTAATGCAAAAAGTGGTACTAGGTACAACAGTTTCACCTACACTTAAACTAAATATAGCTCTGGATAAACTTCGATCAAAATACTTTCCACCTTGTGGAGCTCGCACCAACAGAATACAGATCAGAGCGTTTTCTTCTTTCAAATAAATTATGAAATATATATATTATGATATTCTTGGTTATGCTTTATTAAAGCTTACCTTTTGATTAACAAATTTGTAAGAATGTTGCTGATAGTTCTAAATTATTTAGGTTTACACAATGGGTATAGAAACACTACATAGAAGTCACTTTTAACTAACTAAACAGTAAAATGCTACACGATGTGATAATGTGGTACCGTTACCGCTATTGAAATTTAAACGTATGATTTGTACTTTTAAAACAATAGCGATTACTTAAATCAGCATAATAAGTCCATTAGTCTTGACCGATGATAGATAAGTAAATATTTAGAATTTAAAATTTGGATATATAAAGAATTTAAATAGAAAAATAATTATGCGGAAGGTATGATCCACATTGAAGAAATCATAATATGTAGAGCTTTCGAAAAAAAAAGTTAATTAGAACAGGCCAAGTCCTGCAATAAACCAACTTTATTTTCGATGTTATGTCACTCTGCCAAGAAAAAGTGAACGTATTTATTACATAACTCAACTTATATATACAGTCATCTAATTTCTTTAAAACACCAATTATAAGAACACAGCACAGTCTTCTTCTTCAAGTTCCGCTGTTATCTTATATTAAAAATCATTCTGGTAATTATAATTTTATTTGTTTCACGCCTGAATAGCTCAGTTGAACTGCATCCGAGCCATTCACGGAGATTGCGTAGCAACGAGATTTTACGTCTTCCTATACGTCTTCTGCCTTCGATTTTGCCCTGCATTATATTCCTTAATAGTTTGTATTTTTCACCTCTCATGATGTGCCCCAAATAAACCAACTTCCTGCTCTTCAAACCTGGAGGTCCATTGCTTCTCTTTTCTTCAATATTTTTTCTACTCTCGGTTGGTTGAAGCCCTCCCGTTTGCTTGTAATACATGGCATGTTCCAGTTAGCTGGTGCAGCGTTATTCTCTCATTGTTCTCTACACCATTCAGTTACATTGAAGTTTCGATCTACTAGCCTTTTTGCTGTTTTTAGAGGCGGGTGTCTTGAGCGGAGCCTATTTATGTCTCTGGCGGAAGTTCCAACATGGGAGGATCAGTCTTAGGATCAGTATTGATTTTTGTACATTCTCTGACAAGGGCATGTTCCCGGCGGATGGGTGGTGGAGCTATATGACTCAAATAGTTCGCATGGCTTGGTTGAGTTGGACATCAACACGGTGAGTATGTGGACTGTTTATCCATACTGGTGCACAGCATTCCGCTACGGGGTATACCAGTCCTAATGCTGTCGATCTAAGTGTGGGTGCTGAGGAGCCCCATGTAGTGCCGCAGAGATTTTGCAGGATGTTGTTACGAGTTTGGAGTTTTGCAGCAGTCTTAGTAAGATGCTCTTTAAAGTTTAGCGTTCTGTCAAGTGTAACACTTAAGTATTTTGGGTGTTTATTATAGTTAAGGAGTCTATATATTATACAAATATGTATTATTTAAATGGACTAAAAACCGACATATTGAAACTCTGTGATTCAGAAATAATTGATTTCTGAGTCTTGCGCAATAAGAACTTTTGATCATCATCATCAAAGCTAACCCTCTGCAATTCAGCCAATTTAATTGAAACCACTTTTTCACAAAAAAAGTGTCGGGGTCCTTTAACTTAAATCATAAGTTTTAAAATTATTAAGTCATTAATGATCAAGCTATAACAACATAATAAAACAACTCCTTACGTTATTTTTATTGATTTAATAAAAATATAATTAGTATTTAATCACCACTATATTTTATGTTTCGATAACTTCCAAAGGTGGACAATTGTAATGTCTAATATTTCTGGGCATCACCATACTATGTTGAATTGCAGCGACACTTTTCATGTATTCTTCCACAGCTTCGATCAAATGGCTTGGAACAATTGGTCCTATACCCGGAACTTTATCAACCCATATATCCTCGTATTCTTTCTGAAAAAATGACAAAATACACATTTTAATCATCATGTATTATATTTATCACCGCAAATAAGAAAAAATATATACACTGTGATCATTTGAAAATAATCTACCCAATATTTCACCGATAGGAAATAAATTTAACAATATAACAGCATTCAAAACAACAAACACATTGAGATCTATTTTATCTAAAACTAAGCCTTATAATGCGCCAGAAAGAACAAAGAATTAGATTTATAAAATACCTTGCGAATGCGAATATTTTATTATATTTTATTATTAGTCTAATATTTTTTAAAATGCGCGAATTAGTGAGTTGGCGCTTAACCGTGGTGTTGACCATAATGTTGAGTTTATCAAACTTATGTACACTTCATCTAATTTACATACCTATGCACGTCATCGGCGTCATAGCCCGTAACGTCACACGATACCAACACGAAATATTTAGGCGATAGGTTAGGTGTGTTCTTTTTTAGAATCACTTTGCCGAGTACACTGGCATTACAGCCACTAGACATATTTTATTATATATACGCGTAGAAATAATATTTAAAAATTTCTATTAATGTTAACTTAAAGAAATACACAATAATATGTTTCATTTAATTTGTATAAATGCATTATAAAGCGTTTATATGAAGAACATTTGTTCGAAACACACTGTAACTGTAATGGAACGAAGGTGAAATTTTGTCTATTACGCCAGGCAGTCCTATCCATTGCCAATCGTTGCCAGTTTGCTGCGCCTATCTTTCTACCATCTTATATTTTTACCTATTTAATAAAATATATTCTTTTTAGAACAAAATTAGTGTGTTTTATTTCAAAAATGTCACGTAAAAATTTAAATAGTTATTGTAAAGAGATGGTAATACTTTTGCAATCATTATGTGATCTCGTTTGATTTAAAATGGAGTCATGATTTTTTTGTACTTTGGCAACTATGTCAACTTTGATCTCTGACGTAGATAATGACGTGCATCATTATGTAAATTAGATGAAGTATAGGTGGTTATTGAAAATTGAGTGTGTAAAATTGTATTTCCTGGATATTGCACATCCACTTCCACAAGTCATCGAGTATTAGTATTACTACTATTATTTTAAAGATAGTAAATTATTTGTTTGTATAATTTATGATACATAACGTATTTTTATATTATTTTAGATGTCTAACTGGGATATGAAGAGGCCTCTATCAGATAAAGAACAGCAATAGACTGTCAACAATTGGGATGCCAGTGAATATTATTGTGATGTAAGTGATATTGAAGACTTGAATCTTCATCTTCTTCGCGTGCCATATCAGAATTATCCGACGTTGGCGATCACCATTGCAAAGGCTTCTCGATCTTCTGCAATATAGAATAATTGTCCTACATTTGGTATCTGAGTCCATTCACGAATGTTTTTTAACCAAGAAACTTGTTTTCTTCCTACACCTCTACGGCTCTCTATTTTGCCTTTAAGGATCAGTTGTAAAATTTTATATCTACTTCCACTTACTATATGTCCCAGATAAGACATTTTTCGATGTTTAACAGTCTTTACCATTTCCATTTGGTGAAGATGGAAATGTAAATGGAAATGGAAATGGGCTGGACACAATAAACGTCTCCAAGATGGACGATGGAACAATGCCATCGGAAAGTGGCGTCCATACAATGCAAAGAGATCAAGAGGCAGACCACAGATGAGGTGGAAAGATGACATCAGGAAACAAGGAGGTCCCACATGGCGGAGAACAGCTCAAGATAGGGAAAGATGGAGAGAACTGGGGGAGACCTATATCCAACAATGAAAAGATAGAAAATGGGTTAAAAAACAGTCTTTAGCAGTTCTCTGTGTTTGTTGACGCTCCTTAGTACTTCCTCATTAGTTTTTCTTGCTGTCCAAGGTATCTTCAGCATTCGTCTATGAACCCACATTTCCAATGCTTAAATTTTGTTCATGATCGATATTCTAGTTGGTCCGTTATCACAGTTCCTAAATATGTCATTTCTGTACAATTACTGTATCGTCTGCATATCTAATCACATTAAGTAATTCCCCGTTGATTTTTATTTCATATGGTTGTCTCTCAAGTGCCTTTTTAAATAACTGGTCCGAGTAAACATTGAACAATGTTCGTGACAAAATGCAACCTTGTCTAACTCCTCGCTGTATAGAGATTTTATCGGTGTAGTTATCTCTAATTTTTACGATAGAAGTTTGATTCCAGTACAAATTTTTAATGACACGAATATCCTTGTCATCTATTCCCATATTTTTCAGTATTTGCATTAATTTCATTTAGTATCGAATGCCTTTTCGAAGTTTACGAAACATGCAAATACATATTTTCTTTGGTCACGGCATTTTTGTATTAGGATGGTAAGCGCAGAAAGTGCCTCTCTGGTTCCCATAGCATTTCTAAAACCAAATTGTGTATCTTCAAGATCTTCTTCGTGTTTGCGTCTAATTCTGTTGCGAAGTATTCTGAGGAAAATTTTAAGAGTGTGGCTCATTAGGCTAATTATTCGATATTCTGAGCATTTTTTAGTTTCTGAAACGATACTGACACGATATAGAAACGATATACAGCAACGGTATATGATCTGGACCACAAGCTGTTCTAATTTTAGCATTATTCATAGCGTGTTCTACCTCGCATTTCATAATTTCTGGGCCGTCAGTAAAGTTTTGGTAGAATTCGGCAATATTATTCCTGTTATCTTTTCTGTTGCCATTATTTTCTTATTTCGTGCTTATTTACAATAATTTTGTTATTATTGCCAACGAGTACAGAGAGAACTCGTTTTTTTAAATATGTTACTCATTTCTTTTAGTTTTTTGTGCACATCAAATAAGTCGTGTTTAGATATTACATCCTCCATTTAGTCGCACCTTTCTCTCCTCCATTTTTCTTTGGCTAATTTGATCTCCTTTTTTATTCTTCTCTGCAGGTGTCTATATTCTGTTACATTAGATTTTATCAGTCGACGTTGTTCCATTAATTTCAAGATGTCTGTCATTCATATGTGGTTTGCACTTATTTTAAAAAGGATTCAATTACTTCTTTACTTTCATCAATAAAAATGTTTTTTGGACTTTTTAATAAAATAGTTATACATATGATTTTTTCAATGTAAAATAAAAAATTGACTATAATAGGTTTAAAATATTAAAAATATCTTAAAAATAAAAGTAATCAGTATTTAAAAATCTAAAAAATAAGTAAAACGAACTTTAAAAATGTAGAAAAAAGTAAAAAAAATTCTTAAAGTTAGTAAAACGCAGTTAAGTATTTTGAATTTCATTTCCTGAAAATACGTAAATCTAAAACCATCACGTGACGCTAAGAATGGCAACAGGAAGAACAAAATATGGCGGAATAAAGAATAAGAACATGAAAAAATAAATAATAAAAGAAAATAACACTCAGAAGTTAAACAAAAATAATTAAGCCAGTATCAAAATATCTTCCTCTAACAGCGTGATAATTAAACCTGAAAAATTAACAACATAAATTCTAGAACTAGAAACAAAAATAAAGACTATTAAAAGCATATGTTAAATATGAGTTAGTTAAAAATATAAACAAAAAATATGATTATATATACCTTTTCTTCTTTCTCCTCTTCGCTCTTCTCTTCTTCGGCAACAACTTCCTCGACCACCTCTTCTTCTTCCTTTTTCTTAAATTGTTCTATAGCTACCTGCTGGGAATCTGTAAGGGGCATTTCAGCTATAAGCCTGCACTTAAATTTTTCAATCTCTTCATCTTCTTCACCAGGAAGTTCTTGTTGTAGTGACTAAAACATAGCGAAATAAATAAATATAAACTATAATAATGTGGAAATATACAAAAAAAATTTTAGCGTGTGTACCTTTAGACGTTCCAAATCTTCTAAAAGGATTTTCTCATCTTCAAAATCATCTGAAACGATCTTTCTAGGTTCTTCGATGACTGTATCAATGGATTCTTTTACAGCAGGCTCTTCTTCTTCAGGTAATTCCATATCCTTATCGGCAAGAGCTGCATACAAGGACTCGCCTTGATATTCTTCTTCTAAAAATAAATTGTATATTTCTTAAATTTTTCATTTTAATTCCATGATAGAAGTTACCTTCAGCTTCCATTTCATACATGCGTTGAGCATAAAGTACTTCGGGTGCCACTGTGTCATCGCCTTCGCCAGGTTCCTCTTTAGAAACGTCTTGGAGATATGAAGGTAATTGGATCTCTCTAAAACGAATAATACACTTTAATATGAAAAACTTGGTTTTAGTATAAATATCAATAATTTTATAAATAGATCAACTGATTGTAACGACAATGGTAATCATAATAAAACCGTTGCTTCTTTCATATCTTAACAATAAAAATTTATTTAAATCACTGTTCCGAGCTTAGTTATTCATTTGGTACTGTAAAGGGAATACAAATACACCTCACAAAGGCACAAAAACATCATGCTCGTAGTACAGTAGAAGGAACGACATTACCGCGTTATTTAGGGAGAAGAGGAATTATAGATATAGGTAAGCGTATAGAAAAACAGATTGCTAATTTAAAAACGTATTTTTAAGACGTCTAATTTACATCGCGCCATTTGTGCAGTGGATGACACAATGCCACTTACACTAAGAGAACCAGAAATGTTCTAAAAACCCTTTCTAAAAAATTACCTTACGACTCCTTCCCTAGCTCTTGTTTCTTTTGGTATGCTGCAGTATCATCATCATCATCAACTAGCCTCTAACGTCCACTGCTAAACATAGGCCTGTCGCATGCTTTTCCACTTAGTCCGATTTTGCGCCATCTGAATCCAATTTGTATTCACTCTTTTTATGTCATCTGTCTATCTGGTTGGGGGTCAACCTCTATTTCTGTTAGCTTGTATTCAGGGTCTCCATTCCAAAATTCCTTTTGTCCACCGGTCATCAACTGGTCTTGCTACATTACCTGCCCAGTTCCAGTTTAGTGTTGTTATCCTTTCAATAACGTCTGATACTCCTGATCTTTTGCGTATAGTAGCATTGGGTATTCTATAACGGGTATTCTATATTGGGTATTATTCTGATCTCATGGCCCAAGTATTTATAGGAGTTAACTTGCTCAATATCTTTGTCTTCTACTGAAATGTTTTTGTTGTGTACTAAATTTGTAATAAATTGTGTTTTTAAAAAATTTATTTTAAGACCAACTCTTTTTGTGGCAGTATGGAGTTCTTGGAGCATTATCTGTGCCTGATCAAAGTTGTCTGCAATAAGAACGATATCATCTGCAAATTTAAGATTATTTAAAAATTTTCCATCTACATTGATGCCCTTTTCCAATATATTGTTTTACAAGCGTATTTTAGCAAAGTTGTAAATAATTTGGGAGACATTTGGTCTACTTGCAGAACGCCTCTTTCAATACGAAAGTTCCCAGTATCTTTATTAAGTCTTACACAGGCTTCGCATGCTGATAGATGTATCTGATGAGGGATATGTATCGGTGATCTATTCTACATTATGTTAGAGTTTGTAGCATTTCACTTTGATTGACTGTATCAAACGTTGTTTCAAACTCGACAAAGACAAGTATCAGGGGTTTATTATATTCAATGGTTTTTTCAATCAACGACTTGTTTGCAAATGATCATATGTTCCGTATCCAGCTCTAAATCCTGCTTGCTCACAAGGTTGATAGAAGTCTAGTTTTGATAGGTCTATAGTTCTTTAGTATAGAACTAGTATAGAACTATATAGGTTCTAGAACTATATAGAACTATAGAACTTTAGGTCTATAGTTCTTTAGCTCTGTTATATCTCCCTTTGTATGCATGACTACTATAACAGCTTTATTCCACTGAGATGGTGTAACCTCTTTTGAAATGCATAAGTTATATAATTGTGTCAATACTTTCAATACTGTCTTTCCTTTTGCTTTAACTGCCTCAATAACGATTTGGTCATCACCAGCTGCTTTATTGTTTTTCATTCGATTTAATGACTTTGAGACTTCTTCCATTGTTATTTCTGGGATATCCTCTTAACCCACATTCTGGACTTATCTCAACTTGGTGCCGTCTTTCTTATCCCTTTCTCTATATAATTCTATGTAAAATTCTTCAACTACCTTAATTATCTTATCTTTATCTGTTACCATTTTCCCATTTCGATCTGCGAGCTTAACAATATTCTTCTTACCTAGAGCTTGACATATCTTCAGCACCTTTAAACTTTTATTTTTCTCGACAACCGTTGTAATCTTTTTTGTGTTATATCCTTTCTCACTGCTTTATTAGTATCTTTATTAAGTTGTTGTAGTATGCGTGCATTTATATCGGTATTTCGCTTAAGTTCTCTTCGTGTCTCCATAAGTCTTTTTGTCTCTTGACTGATTTTTTCCCTTTCTATCTCTCCCAGGATTTGTATTGCACTTTTTCTTTGCGTTCTTCATAGCTTTTAATAAGTTATCATTTAAGGTTTCAACATTCATAACGTCTATATTTGTTGTCCCTAGACATCTCAGAATTTCCTCTTCGAATGACATGGTGTTTTCGATTGGATTCCATCCTATTGGCTGTGTTTTTGTTATCATTTTGTATCTTTGTTTTTGGAGATTTAGCACGATCTTCGCTCTTACCATTCTATCACTTTCCACTGAACAGCTATTAAGAACTGTTACATCATGGACCATGTCTTTGTTGTTGGTTAAGATAAAATCAATTTCATTTTTGGTGCCTCCATCTGGACTTGCCCAGGTCCATTTTCTTTAAGGACGTTTTTTTTGAAAAAGCTGTTCATTGCAAACAGGCCATTTTGTACCAAGAAACCCAAAAACACTTCGCCTCTTTCATTTCTTTGTCCAAATTCGTATGGACCTATTGCAACTTCGGTCCTGTCCAGTTTACATCCCAATTTAGCGTTAAAGTCACCCATTACTAGGTTGTGTGTAATAGGCACCAGTTTTACTGCATTTTCTAGGTCTTAATAAAAGGTTTCCACTTCCTCGTCTGAGTGTGTAGATGTAGGTACATAGGCTTGAATTATTTTAAGGCTAGATTTTTTGTTAAGCTTGATCCAAGCACCCATCAATGTGTTAAGCACCATCATGATTTTAAATCAATGTATCACCACTAAAAAGATTTAAATTACCTGCCACCAAGCGCCAATTGATAAACAGTGACAGGTTTAAATAAACATAATTTCTTAATTATAGTTTATTCGTCTTCCGGGTTTGGACCATGTCATTTGTGAGTGACCCAAAAGTGGGTTCATCTCGACGTTTCGCTACAATTGTATGTAGCTTCTTCAGGAGAACAAAGAAAAAAGAAAAAAGAAAAGAAATCAAAGGACAGGAAGATGGGTAGTTAGCTGTAGGGTAGCTGTTGGACGTGAATCCCTGTCCTGGCATTTGGTTTTCACCTCTGGCTGCGTTGAGTAGTTGAGTTACTGTGACCAAATGCCCATCTTGGTAGTTAGTATTCGCCTCTGGTTGCGTTGAGTAACTGAGTTACCGTTGCTAACTACCCATCTTCCTGTCCTTTGATTTCTTTTCTTTTTTCTTTTTTCTTTGTTCTCCTGAAGAAGCTACATACAATTGTAGCGAAACGTCGAGATGAACCCACTTTTGGGTCACTCACAAATGACACGGTCCAAACCCGGAAGACGAATAAACTATAATTCTGACTCTGGCCGTGGAAGCCTACGATTTCATAATTTCCTTATTTATAAAAAATTTTGAAAACGATTTTTGGATTGAAAATCGAAACCACAAAAACAGATGTAAAATGCAATTATCATTACAATCAATTGTGGTTAAATCTCATGTGAATATAATGTCTAGATATAAATTTGTTTTAACATATATGTACCAGCAAAGTTGCATAAACGCAAAAACTTTTTTCCTCAATAACCAGTGTTTCATTTTTTCAAATTTCATTTTTGCAATTTATTTTAATTCATGCTTAAACGAAAGAAATATAACCATTTAAAACTTTGGAATTTTTGGTTATTTCAACCGTTGGCCTTAGATTATAATTAAACTTAAAATTGAGTATTCAATGGAATCACTAACGAGATAATTTTTTCATCTTAATTGAGTGTAATAAAATGCGCGGTACTATTGAATACCAATCAGATAATATTACTTACTTTACGGAGATCTGTAAGGTAAAGTTAATTTCATGTAAACTGACAAAAAAAGTACTTACAGTACTATTTTAAAGACTTATCATTATCCTCAGTGGAACTAAAGCCTTAGTTCAGCCTTGACTTGTCTTAAAACCCGATAAGAAAATACAAAATTACAAGAAAAAACCATAAGCTTAACTGATATATGACAGGGGAAAAAGGGTTTAGGATTCTATTAAAAGGAGGAGACCATAAAGTGGTGTAATCGCTACTCTAAGGCATGAAATTCGAATCTGGGTGCCATATGAGATATAATATGTCAAATGAAAAAATTCATCCAACTTAAGAACTTTATATTTGAGACTCAGTCAGAATAACACGCTAACAGAGATAAAGTGGTAATCAAGAAATATGATATTTAATTTAGATCTTCTTCTTCCTCTTACTAGATATTTAGACCTTCTTCCATGCAATATTATTGCAAGATAACCTTGCATGGAAGATTATCTTTTGCTATTTTTACAAAAAAATGAAGGTTGTTCAGGATTGGTGGGTAGACGTCCCCTACTCTAGGGGGTGTCTACCCACCAAGGCCACGATAACCCAAACTCCATGATGGTCCCATCTTTCATACCTGTATTTTGGGTATGCGCAAATAACGAAGGTGTGGGGTTCATGGGCTCTTAAGCTATCAGGTTTGTAATAAGGAAATAAAGTGTTGTTCAGAATACTCTTTGCTTAAGGGACTTGTGTCCTTTATTATATAAAGTATAACCACAAATGCAGTAGACTGATATAGGCTCAGTTCACTTTAACAGCAACAATTTCGCCGTCCTACAGTAGTAATACTATACAAGGCAGTGGTGGCAAAAATTTTTATAATGCGTAAATAGTTTTTGTAGCAGCAAGCCCATAGCATTGTGCTTATTATGTGAGTTCTTTAGTTCATGCTTACAAAATATTTTTGATTTTCTACTAAACGATGACGGTTACTAGATCTTTCATAACAATGTATGAATCTGAAATCAATTATTGTGTCTCAGCTAGAAAAATGACAGGCTGTGAAAATCTTGCTGGGCTATAGAGCTTTACTGCAATATTAATATCATTAGTATAAAATGTAATTGCTTTTCAACAAATATATAATAAAATACTTACTTTGAAGTTTCAGTTTCTTCTGCCTCATGTTCCTGTTCTGCTTCTTGTTCAGTAACATGTTGGATATAGTAATCAACATCGTAGTGATCGTCTTTTCCTAAACTTGGACAGGATACTTCCTCTTTAATAAACTCTTTTTCTATCTCTTCAGATTCTGATTTTTCGAGCAGTTGACTTTTTTCACTGAAAAATGACCAAAGTTAATAGTTAAATTACCAACCTTTGAAAAATGAGTTGAAGAAAAAGATATAAGAAAATTTGAAACAAATAAAACTGTATATCCAAATGAAATGGAAAATGTGTAAATTAGTATCTAAAAATGTGAAAGGAAAATGTGGATAAAGGATAAATAATTTATGCATGGTTTTTAAGAGGTTAGATTTTTAAATTTTATTGGTGAAATTCCTACAGTGGCCACCCTTAACGGTTCCTACAATGGACACTGCTTCTTTGTTGTGGCCACTGTCTTCTAAATGTACCTATCTTCTAGAGGTGTTGGCGACTATATTGACAGTGGCCATTCGTCAGAAGACTATTACTGGGATAACTCATTTGGAGACAATAAGATAGGCCCTTGTTGATATTAAAAATAATTGGTTGTTAAAGAGGAAGGCCGGCTGAAGACTCCAAAGATCCTGCGCCAACGAATTGGCGGTTATTAACAAGAAAAAGTATCCACTCTTATGGGACCAAAATAAAATGGCTGGAAAACGTTGGTTGGCCAAATTTCTAAAAACAAATCCTCTGTCAATTAAAACTGCGAAAGCTACCTTACTAGGACGAACAATGGGTTTTAATAAAATTGTTGACAAAAGTTTTTCGCTAATTTATAGCAAGTAATGGATAAATACGAATGTCGTTCTAGCAATATATACAATATAACTCCCGTATAAAGGGTTTTTTTGGTAACTTTGTGTGGATCAATAATTAATGCATATGTTAACACAGTTAACGGAATTTTTTTTAAAAAACACGGCATACACGATCGTGTATGGCGTCTTTAATGATGATGATAAATACATAAAGGTATTACCTTTCCTCTTCAATCACAACTTCTTCTTTTACTTCCTCTTTAACTTCTTTTTCTGATACTTCCCTATATAAACTTAATAACGAATCGGTAAAATACATATTTTTCAACCATTGAGGTTTAGATGCATCTATGTTAGCGAGAAATGTATACAAATCCATAAATGTTGCGAAAGGAATCATAGCCGAGGCACCTTCAGGCTCATCCGTCATTATTTCGCATATGAGTTTCATTGATTCCGTCAAACTCTGTAAAATTAAATACTCGTATAAATATAACAATAAAACACTGAAAACTATCTTTTCAAAACTTCCACAAAATTTATTATATTATTTTATCCCTACAGCTGTTTCGGCAGAGTCCCTTTCTCAAGTGATCTATTTTTGGATGTGTTTACAATTTAAAGTCTTTAACGAAATAGGTTGAGGAGACGAGAACTGTTTGTCCCAAGTTGGCCATTCAGAATTATGTTGTGTGTTTTTTAATTTGTTAATTTCCATAGATTCTAATAAAGTTAGCTTAAGGTCTTTATTTTGGATGTAAAGAATTTGAAATTCGTCATTAAAAGAATGATTATGATCTAGAAGGTGAAGTGCGTATATAGAATCTGTTTTCCTATATTGAAAGCCCTTTTATGTTCTGCTATTCGTTTATTAAAATTTCTACCAGTTTGACCAATGTAAGTTTTTGTGCAGTCACCACATTTAAGTTTGTATACACCACTGTGTAAGTGCTTTTTATATATATATTTACCTAAGTTAATTAATTGATTTTGTTCTGTTTCTATTGTAAATTCAATATGACTATGGAGTGAATGATTATGCCATGAAAATTGATCAAATTGTCTGTTAGTTCCTGTAAAATATACCATTACATCGTCTACGTATCTCCAACAATATAAAAACTGTTTAAAAACGAGAGATTTGTATATATTTGATTATTAAATTCAAAATAGCCCTGGTTTATGCAAATTTCGAGAAGATTTTTACTATTTTGGTCTAAAAGGTTTTTTTACTAGAACAAAAGTTCCTGTAGGAGGATTACCTACTAGGAAAAAGATTTTTTACGTCAAATGAAATTAATCTGGAGGTGTGAGGTAATTGAAAATTATTGAAAAGTATTTTATTAAATACAGTGGGTGATCAAATTATTATGATCAGTCACAAAAATTTAAGTTTTTCATATTTGTTCAGAAATTTTATAATAAAATTATATGCTGATATACGATTAAAGTATGCCAATATATTTTGTCACTGATAACCTTACTTTTTGACGTTTACCGCTCTAGAATTGTCATTTGTGTCAAATTACGTGACAACATACACATTGTGGTGAATTTACGCTTTGAGTTTACAACTGAATTTGTATGTTTTTGTATTGTTTTTGAAAGATTAGTAACGTTTTATCTTTGTAGTATGTTTTATTAATTTATTAGTGGTGATTGTGAGTGAAAAAAGAATATCAGTTTGAATTTTAAAGACATTTTCAAAACATTTCGATTTTTGAGAAGAAAATCATAATGGGTAAGGCTAAAGACGTCCCTGTGTCTAAAATGGAGGAAATAAAGACACTTTTATTGAATACAAAGCTTTCCCAACGTCAGATAGCTCAACAATGCCAAGTAGCGCAAGCAACAGTGAGCAATATCAAGAAAAAAATTGAAACCAACAAACCCCTGATTCAGCAGCGTGCCCAAAAATGTGGTCGAAAGCGTGTCACTACACCCAGAGACGAAAGAAAAATGAGGGATATATTCGTAAACAATAGAAAGAAGCCAAGAAGAATCCCACGGGACTTATTCGTGAAGCTGGTATGCCAGTTTCTGACATGAGTCCGCAGAAGGCTTACTGAGCAAGGTTTCAAATCATGTCGCCCTGCCAAAAAACCAAAGTTGACCATCGTAATGATGAAAAAGAGACTGGAATGGGCCAAAGAATACCAAAATTGGACAACTGAGGATTGGAATAAGGTAAATTACGTCACTACTAAAGTTTAAATCACTATAACCACTGTTTTTATCCTAAAAAAAATATCTTATAGTTTTTTTTTTATTCACAGGTTTGTTTCTCCGATGAGTCTACAGTGGAGATACTCATGGATAAGTCGGCCTTCGTCCGAAGGCGAGTGGGTGAAAAATATCATAAGGATTGCATAGTGGAGCGAGAAAAGCATCCTCTCAAGATTATGGTATGGTCTGTGATCAGCAGTAAGGGCACAGAGAGGCTGTACATTGTAAATGGAATGATGAATCAACATCAGTATATTGAAGTTCTGGAAAAAAAACTCATGCCACAAATCAAAGACTGGTTTGGCGAATCGGAGGATTTTACCTTTATACACGATTCAGCACCGTGCCATAAGGCAAAAAGAGTAACATCGTACCTGGAAAAAAAGAAAATTAAAGTAATGAAGTGGCCAGGTAATTCCTCAGACCTCAATCCGATCGAAAATCTATGGGAGCTTATGAAGAGGGGGGTTGCCCAGGAAATTGTCACAAATAAGCAGTTCTATTGTATTTTTACTACTTCTATTGTATTTTTACAAAATTTAGGTGAAAATCTAGTGTGATCTGACATAATCTCTAACAGTGTTTTTGAAAGTTGATATGACGGAGCTGTATAAAAAATATGTGATCAGGTTTGTGTAGTTTAATAAAAGAGTATAATTTAGGAAGCTGTGGATTCATGATGTTGAGATATTCCTGTTTTATTAAATTTAATATTGATTTTGCATTTTCTAATTATAATTATATATAGTTTGATAATTTTCTGTCGGATCTTTATTTGCTGTTTCATATTTTTAATTATTTAAAAATTCTATTGTTTTGTTATTATATTCTATTTTATCTAGCAATAGTAGTGTTACCCTGTCTACTTTTGTAAATACTATGTTGCTTTCTATCGATTTATTTTTAATTGAAATGGCTGTTTGATTCTCTTTGTAACGGCCGAATCCATCACTCGTTGCATGTTTAGCGTGTTGTTATCTTTCATTTTACTCGAAAATATGTAAGAGAACTATCTGAAAGAAACCAAGAAAAAGTAACTTATGTTATGACTATATTTATTGACAAGATACTAAATCCTGCTGGATACAAGGTGCGAGAGAGATAACATATAGTTTTTTTCGATCTCTCTCTCTCTCTCTCTCTCTCTCTCTCTCTCTCTCTCTGTCCTTATGCGTCGCGCCTAGATCATTAAAAGTGATTGAAATTCTGCCTTTAGTTAATATAATGCTCGAAAGTCGGTACACCTGTTAGAATATGTCCATAGCAATTAGCATAATAACAATGCAAGTGATGTTTTCTTCTTCTTGTAGTGCCTATTTTAGTGGTAAATTTTGACTAAAATTTACCACTAAAAATTTACTTATTGAAAAAAATTTACCACTAAAATCTAAAATCTAATAGATACAACATAAAAAACTCATTGTGTCCAAGACTATGATGTAGTGCAATAAAGTCCTTCCCCCTTTTAAATTCAATGTTTGTTTCGTCCCTTCTAAGTGTTTTCTGTTTTAGTGTGTTTTAATTATCCTTAATTGTTTGTAATTTTAACATTTTATTTACTTGACTATTCCAATAATTAACTCATTGCCAATAGAACTTTATCAAAGTAATTTGATAACTACAAGTTGTGAAAATAATTGCACACCCACACAATCTTTACATCTACACCTATTCATTGTCATAAAACGGTCACCTTCAAAAAACAATTACTCAATAAATAACACACATTTCAAAAATATATCTCTGGAATAAGTATAAATAGCCTTTAATAACACAATAGTATATTACATCACTTACATTTAACAAACAATCTCACACATATCTCTAATTCATTGGATCAAATCTATCTCCTCAAGAACTTCCCGTTTACTGTCAAACAACTGCAGTGATAAAATTGAGTTCTCCATTCAACAATATAAAGTAGTTTCAACCATGTTCTACCATCCATCTATTAATAGAGTACCGGCATGTAAGTAATGTTTATTTTATTTATTTATTTGCTCATTTATTAATTTATTACAATCGAAGAGACTATTTTATAACAAATTGTGGGCCTTACCTTGTCTGTTTAACTTTTTAAAAAAAATTTTATACCCTTTTTATTCAACTTACTCATTTAAATAAAACCACAGACATGTAATATTGGCATAATTATTGTAATTTACAACACCTACTTTGTTTATCGTTGTTAGACAACACCCTAATATGGGTTTTTATTATTTCAGCATTTGTTTAACTTTGTATCGAGACCTGAGGATGCTTTGCATATTGTTGAAAGCGAAACCGGTCGTCTGATAGTTAAATTAAATTGATTGTGAGTAAGTCTTATTTATTATTTCTTTACCTATTTGAAATGGACTCACACAAGCAACACATTCATGAATAGTAAAATAATATATTATATACTTACATCTGTTAAATGTGCCGCACACAGTCCAATAAACCTCAACCAAGGTATCTCCTTGGGATTATCGAAACCTCCCAAACACAAAATTTGAATAAGTGTTTGATGTGATAGGCAAGCTCCGATCCATCGATCCCATAAAATCTTAAAATGAATAGTCTTATTGTTAGTTAGTTGATAAAGTAGTGCCTTTAGCCAGCCAGGAGTGATTCCATAGTGATCGCGTGGTATAGGGTATTCTAGACGTGGCTTCACTGGTGGAGGTATATTGAGTGACAGGCAGCGGAAATAAGCTGTGGACCATCTAAAATATAAGACCACTTCGATATAAAGTTCAAATAAGCTCAAATTTGCCTTAGCCGATCATGAGCTCAACTTTTAGTAGATGGATTTACGATATTATGATAAACATTGTATAAACGGCTACTAGCAAGCTCATTTAAATAACTACATCAAATTTAAACTTGTGTCAACCTCCTTAGATGAATATGAAATAAAAGGTATTACAAGAAGATTAATAATTTGATATTTCCAACACTCTATTCTTTGAATAAAAATGTAGTAATGTCATTTAATACAATTGACAGTTTGTCCTTAACGTTTTCCTATTTATACTCCATGTTGATGTATACGAGTATGTTTGATTCTAGAGTATTAATAAGGATCTTTCTCTAAACCTTTTGAACGCAACATTACCTACATGATAAGCTTTATACACCACGTTGTTTTCCAGTCACATAATGAAATATCTTAAATATTTTGGGTTTTGTAGTTCAACAATAAATGACAGATTTGTGCTCGAATTAAGAAACAGTTTTAAAATTCTTTCCCAAGTAAGAGGTCTTAAAACAACTTGAGAGAACTGCTACAAGAAGAAAAAAGCTGCTTATACAGAAATCGGGAAAAGTGTCTTGCGTTTTACATAAGAAAGAAAATCTTGAAAACGGATGGACGTGACTATTTTTACTTGTCTGATAAGCTTGTCTGTATTTTCAATAAGGCATTTCCTTTAATTACAATTAAGTCAAAACCTCACAAAATTTGGACTAACAAGGGTATCCGCATATAAGCCAAGAATATGCGTTCACTACTGTCAATCAAGAAATTTAATAACAACGTCTTTGCCACTGAAGATATCTCCAAGTACAGAGAAACCTATCTAATCCTTATCAAAACAGCTAAAAAACTGTACTATGAGAATTGTCTGAGAAGTTCTAAAAATTTTACAAAGAAAACTTATCCATAATAAACGATCTTCGAAATAAAACTAACACAGCTCAAACATTTTCTCTTCCAAACCCTGAAAATTTAAATGAGTACTTCGTTAACGTGAGTAAAAATATAACATCAGCTATTTTGCAACAACAATATCCTATTTCCTATCTCCCAATTCAAAAAAAAGTTTTGAATTCATTCTTTATAAGACCAGTTGATAAATCTGAACTGATCCAAACAATCAGTAGTATCAAAAACAAATCTTCCTTTAATACGAATGAACTATCCATATTTTTTTTAAATCTCCCATATAATGTGTTGGAAGTCCTGGTCTCACTAATGAACGATTTCTTTGAAAAATGTATACTTCTCGAGTATTCCCGCATAAATTCATGATACATTAACATAATTAAAAACATATATGAAAATGCCACCATGCATATAAAGCTTGACGAAAGCACAAAAACTAATCCCATAAGACTACAACGGGGAGTAAGACAAGGAGACACCATCTCTCCCAAACTATTTACCCTTGCTCTAGAAGATATTTTTAAGAAACTGGAATGGAACAATAAGGGTATCAACGTCGACGAATCATACTTAAACCACTTGAGATTCGCAGATGACATAATTTTAATAGCCGATAATATCCAAGAACTAAATGATATGTTACAACAATTAAATGCAGTTTCAGGAGCGGTAGGCTTAAAAATGAACTACAGCAAAACAAAAATACTGAGCCGAGACCAGACAAATATAACAATACAAAATCATACCATAGAAAATGTGGAACATTATGTATATCTAGGTCATGTTATCAAACTAGGAAAACCAAATCAAGATGCTGAAATTAAAAGAAGAACACAACTGGCTTGGGGCGCTTTCGGCAAACTAGCACATATCTTGAAAAACACCTCCAGTCCTATAAACTTAAAGAAAAAGGTGTATAACACATGCATACTATCAGTTTGTACCTACGGTTTGGAGACAGTAGCACTTACTAAAAAATCTGCTAGAAAATTAGAAACAACGCAAAGAGCAATGGAACGAATCATGCTTGGAATATCACTAAGAGACAAGGTTAGAAACACCGAGATAAGACGTAGAACGAAGATTAGGGATATTGTGGAAGAAATTACAAAAATGAAATGGCGCTGGGCAGGTCACGTAGCCCGATATAATGACAACAGGTGGACACGGAGAATTCTAGAATGGAGACCAAGGACGACAAGAAGCATGAGGAAGACCTTAAAAAGATGGGTAGATGACATAATAGCAGTGGCAGGCAAACAGTGGATTAGATTGGCGCAAGATAGAGAAAGATGGAAGCAATTGGGAGAGACCTACATTCAGGAGTGGATGGAAAATGGTTGACAAAGAAAAAGATACTTCCCGAGTGCCTAAAGACAGTCCAATAATATTCCTCATCATAAAGTTGGTGGAAAACCTAATGTTGCAACTATAGACCTATTGCCGTACTACCGGTCCTATCCAAAATTATTGAGAGACTTATAACAGCCCGACTTTTGTCCTTTCTCGTTGAAAACAACATTTTATAACAAAGTCAGTTCGGCTTTTTATCTAATAAATGCACCAGCGATGCTATATTTTATGTACTTCTATCTTCTTCTTAGAGTGCCGTCTCCCTACGGAGGTTGGCAATCATAATGGCTATTTTTATTTTTAAACTTGCTGCTCTAAACAAATCATTCGATCTGCATTGATACCAATCACGTAGATTCTTCAACCATGAGTTCTGCCTTCGGTCAACAGATCTTCTTCCTTAAATCTTTCCCCGTATTATGAGTCTCAAAATTTCATATTTTGGACCCCTCATCACGTGGCCTAGGTGTTCCAGTTTTCTGGTTTGTATAAGTGGTGATTAGTTCGGTTTCTTTACCAACCCTCTCCAGTACTTCTTTATTTGTAATTCTATCAGTCCATGAGATTTTTAATACTCTGCGGTATAACCAGAGTGCGAAAGCCTCGATTCTTTTTAAATTGCTGTCCTTAATTTTCTATACTACATGAGGTCTATCAAGCATTAAACAATAATCTTTATACTGCCACTGTTTTTGTGTCTATTAAAAAGCTTTCGATTGTGTAAATCACGAAATTTTGATAAAAAAAATAAATTTCTACGGAATTCGAGGTATTTCTTTGAATTGGTTCCAATCTTACTTGAGGAATAGGAAACAACTAGTTAGAGCAAATGATACTGACTCTAGTCACAAAAGCATTGTATGTGGAGTACCACAAGGTTCAGTACTTTTCCTTATCTTTATAAATGATATCACCAACTTAAAAATCCACGGATAAATTTTCCTTTTTGCTTATGATACCAGTATTACCTGGAGGAACTCTAATATTGCAATTCTTCATGCAATTATAACTACTGACCTACTTTAAATAAAAACCTGGTCCGACTCTAATTTACTTTCTTTTAACGTGGATAAGACAGTAGCATTATCGTATAAAGGATCTCTTCAATCCTTGCTTAACAGCATAACAGTCAGATCAGTATCGGTGATTCTGTAAAATTGATTACTATTAACCTTTATACTTATATCATGACTTCATATTTAATTTTAAGGTTCATATCTGTCGTAACAGTATTTTAAAAATGGGGAGAATTTACTATTGTACAATTCAGTACATTGGACCATTTAAATCGACACCTTAAAGCGAATTTAAAACAGTCGTATATTCGTGGAATGGAGTATATTTTTATAGACAACAACCTTAAATGGTGCCTTCATATCAATTTGTGAAGTAAGAAACCAGCCTCAGCCTGCTATGCAATAAGATCTGTTTCAAAGGAAATCAATTTAGCATCTTCCAAAATAACATACTTTTCTTTGTTCTTCGATATGGCCGTCCTTTTTGAGGTTCTAGTACAGCTGCCCAATCTGATATTATTTTTAAATTTAATCGAATTGCGTAAATAAGAATCGTTTAACGTAAAAATAATTAAAAAAAAATAAGAATAAAAAGTTTTTTATAGGTATACCGAAACAACTATTTAAAGTAATATTTTATGGTTCACTTCCATATTACCGCGCCAAATGTGCGCAACTTACAATTCACCATTGCTCGAGTTATATAAAATATTTCCTTAGTTGTTTGGTGCTTAAACTAATAATTCAAATTCAAACTAAACGAACAATAAAAAATTGTATGTATATAACCTCCAGATTTTTGGAAATTTGGCAGCTGTGGATTATTCTATGCTGCTGTTTAATTCAACTATGGAACTCAAAAAAAGTATTCATTTATGCTAAAATCAGGGTAGTTCTAAAGGATTAATTGTTTTAATAGTTGCTGGTATAAATATTTGCTAAAAATTTAAATACGCAAAGCTACTAAACAACAGACTAAGGGTTCTTACCGAAGTACTTGCACAAAAAGAACAAAATTTATTCCGAAATAGAGCTCATGCTGTGGTAATATATTTCCTATATATCCTACTAGCAAAGCTCCCTAGATACTTCTGATGCTGCCTTCTTTATCAAAATATTATCAGCTCTATCTCTTACTTTTCTTAATACTCAACGTAAATTATTTCTAATACCGTACAGAAATTGTTTAGTAGAAAATAAACATCACAGTAGTACTAAAATTCAATACAAAACCGATACGTTTAAACTGCTACATTCAATAATGTTTGAAAGAACTATAGAGGATAATTGTTAGAAGAAACGATCTTGATTAGAAGCTTAAGAACTTGGTATTTAATAGTCGAAATCGCTAATGCGAGAAGTAGTCTAAATTTTTAAAATTTAACATTTAGAGAAGGGTAAAATACAAAATATTTTGCTATCAAGCTGTATAAATATGTATACTTACTGCAATAAATCATTGGGTTGACTTCTAATAGCAGCCTTTGCATACTGTCTTAAAAGATATGGAAACGATGGAGGAATTGTGATCTGCTCGGCGCAATAAATTTGTTCTGGCAAACCCGGCATTTCTTGGTTAAAACTCTTAAATGTATATTTTTAATAATTTATAATACGTGTATAAATGACAATTAAAATGACATCGCAAGGTTTAATGAAACCCATTCAATATCAATGTTTGTATTAAGGACATGTAACGGTTGGTATGGTAAAATTATTGATTAATAAGTTTTAGTCAATGAATTATTAAGCAATAAAAATGTATTAAGTACAAATTTAGGTCTTATCAATTATTTGTAAATATTACCAAATAGATGTTACGTTATTTATCGATTCTATAAAGGCTAGTGGGTTATAACTACATTTTTTTTTACTTTTTACTATTATGAATATATTATTCTTTCAAGGTCAATTATTGGGTCTCATTATGAAACGAGGAACCAACTAATATTTTTTTCAAAAATTAAATTATTGGTTCGTGGAGACGGTAAATAATATAATTATAATAACGCTCCTTTCATATTACACGATTTCGCTCGTGCGGGAAAAAATCGCCCGGGCAATTTTTCTTGATCGACTGTTGAAGAGTACGAGACCTTTCACATTGCACAATTAGAACACGGGCACGTTTTGTAATCGTGTTGCAGCCGTCCAGTGCTACTAGAACCGCACGGCTACCGTATCGCCCTCTAGCTCAGTGGCCTACGTGACCAAATGCACGCTGTCACACTAGACGGTCTTTAGTCGTACGGGAACTGTCCCCAGTATTGTTTCTATCGCGTTCAGTTTTGGTGGTTTGTTTGCAAATTAGGAAGGTGTTGACGCTGAAGTGTTAATATCCCTAGTTGAAGCAAAACCTGTGATATGGGACAAAACTTTAGAAATTTATAAGGATAGAAATGCAACAAGGAAAGCCTGGGCAGAAGTATGTTTAGCACTCAATCCGGATTTGGAGAACAATGGCGATGGAGGAAAAAAATGCATTTGGTAAGTACTATACCTATTAACTTTCTATTAAGCAAAGTAATACACTTTTTGGACGTATGTATATTGTATTTTTTATTGTATATTGGTGTTGTATATATTGTATACTTCACTTGATTTACTATCTACAACAGAGACACTTTTATTTTTATTTCATTTATTTATTTATTTTCACATATATGACAAATTATACTTTAGAAATTTGCCAGGATACACATCCGACTTCTGTCAAAAAATATGAGGTAAGCACACTTCTGATATTGTTTGCACTGCGAAGTGTGGCTGAACGTTGATAGGGCGATGGAATATACGCCATTTATTGCTCAGGATGCCAAACGCACATTCCACATATCTTCGTGCTCTGCACAATCTATAATTAAAGACCCTTTTTTCAACTGTTAAGCGTTTCCCTCCAAAGGGTCACAGTAGATGTCTGTGTAAGCCAAATGCTTCGTCTTCAACAAAGAAGTATGGTATTTTAGGACTCTCTATTCCTGGAAGAAGTTTTTCCTCAGGTAATGGTGGAGAACCACTGTCTATTGATTTCCACAATTTGGACCTCTTAAATATTGACGAGTCACACTCTTTACCATAGCTCCCTACATCAACGTAAACAAATCTGTACTTTGTGTCTGCTACAGCCATAAGAACAATAGAGAAGTAATCTTTGAAATTAAAATACATTGATCCTGAGTCAACGGACAAGTCAGTCTTATATGCTTGCCGTCCATAGCTCCAAGGCAGTGAGGGAAGTTTGCGACACTTTCAAAGTTGGAAGCAATTGACTGCCATCATATCACAAGTTGGTGTTGGTATACACTCTTCTCGCATTTCTGACTAAATCGCAGCACATACTTCTTCAACTATGTTTTTTGCTGTTGAAATTCCAACTCTATCGCTGTAGTGCAAATCCGTAAACGTACAGCCACTCGCCAAATATCTGAAATAAAGTGAACATTGTCGTTAATAATTATCATACTGAATTGGATTGTATTTATTTATTTTATTTTTGTTTTTTACAGGGAAGAAGTAGTGAAAAGGTGGACTAATCTCCGAGATTGTTACGCAAAATCGAAAAAAAGATGACAAATCTGCTAAAAAAAGTGGATCTGGGCTAAAAAAACGTAAGAAATATGTGTTTTCAGACCAACTTCAATTTTTGAATAAGATCTACACCGAAAAAGAAACGGTAGACAGCTTCAACCCAGAAATGTGTACCAGGAAACACTCGAAGAAGATGAAGAGCCTGAAGGCACCACTGGTGAACCTGAAGTTTCTACCAACGTAAACCTGCCATCCAAGTCCGTATGAACAAGGAAACGAAAGAAACTAGATGAGGTTAAGGTGAAAATGCTCAAAGCTCTGGAACATAAAACGCCCTGCAGTAAAATGTCCTTCCTTCAGAGTTTAATGCCTCATTTGACAAACTATTCCAACAGTGAATTCCTTCAATTTCAAGTGGGAGTGTTAAATGTAATAGAAAACATAAACAAACTAAAGGAAACTCCTCATCTTCAATCAAACAACCCCTCTTTTGTGCCCTCTTATCAACCACAACCTCAGTACATGCTTCAGGCGTCTCCCGCTAACCAACCGCAAGCATTTGTCCATGTTCAACAACCTCCATTTAAACCTCAACAATATGCAAATCCTAGTTTTTTCGGGCTACGTTAAAAATAGCGCACAACAGCTTCACTTTTCTCAATATGTACGTGAACAGCAAAATCAATCAAGGCCAACGCAGCAATCAACGCCTAAACAATCAGATTCACAATCCGAACTAGATAAAGCATCCGCATCTCAGTACTACAGGGATTTAGTTACAGCGACTATTCAGCAACTGAAACTGAGCATAGTCCGTCTATTTCGGCTTCACGAGATTCCTCGATGTCTGATCTATTTTGAGTGATTAAAATTAAATAAAGTATATTTGCTTATTCAAAAGGTTTTATTATATTACCTACTACTGTAGTATTATGCTTACCTTAAACATATTGCCAGCATTTCAACAGGTTGTATACAGTTTCTGAACTACGTGTTTTGTCGTTGTAGAACACTCTTCAGTTTCCCATGTAACTCATCAAAGGAGCGAACTGACATACGAAAGTAGTTGAAAAAGTTTTGGTCATCGTTTCTAAGATCTTCAAATAATGTGTGGAACATCCCGACTTCCTCTCGTCTCTGATTAATTGGGTGAATCCAGTGAAGGCGATTGCGCCTTTGTCTTTTTCGACGCCGATATAGTATCCATAACGCAATAACTTGTTCGCGATCCATAATTTTCATCCAGACCAGACCAAATATTCCGATGAACTGATAAAAATGTACGATTTTTATCGTTCATGTGAAAGTAGCAAAACCACGATTAAAAATCGGGCGATTTTTTCCCGCACGAACGAAATCGTGTAATATGAAAGGAGCGTAAGGAGTTATTTTTTTAGTTTTTATGTTATTATAGCATTAATAACTATTAGTTATAATAAATGTGTTAGTTTGGTTGAGTTATTTATTATTATTTTTATATCCAAATAATTTCTTTAAACAAATAAAACATTTTTCTTGGTTTCCTTAAAACTAACAGGGTTACATGTTGCATAACGGGGTTTAATTGTTCTATATTTCTATCCTCACAGTAATCCTCGCGTTAAAACATCTATAAGAGGAGTAGGATTTTTTTACACAATAACAATACACCTAATCTACAAGATTATTTAGCATTTTTTCTTTAACGTAATTTTTGTAAGATTGTTTGTAATCTAGATGTCACCTGGTCCATCCTAGCTCTTTTTGACATGAAATGCTCACTTTTTGTTGTGGCTACACAGCACAGCACTGACTCTGCGTTTTACTAACTGCTCACGTCCTTGTTGTGGCTACAATGCACAACACTAACAAAAAGAAAGGAAATGGGAAACGGAAACAACAGAAGACCATATCCACTTCTGTAGCGGAGTTTATAAAAAATGTAGAACAGAGGCAAGAGTGGGAATACTAATCAAAAATAAGTTGAAGAACAGGGTTAGAACATGGGACCCAATCAACGAGAGAATAATTAAAATGCATATAGGCACATACGGTAAAGAGACAGTGATACTCGGAATATATGCACCAACAGACGATTCTCCGAGAGTAGACAAAGAACATTTCATGGAACAACTTCAACATCAGATAGAGCTAATTAAGAAGAAAGTGGAGATAATTATAACAGGAGACCTTAAGCAGAACCGGAAGCAAAAAAAACGATAAAGTATTGGGGAGCTTCTGATTGAATTATGTGAATTAAACAACATAAAAATCGCCAACGGATTCTTTAGACACAAAAATATTCATAGATATACATGGACGCAAAAAACACGAACGCTGAAATCGATAATAGACTACATAATAATCAAACAAGATACCACCATAAAGATCAAAGATGTGCGAGTCAGAAGAGGAGCAGAATGTGGAACAGAACATAAACTACTGACAGCAAAACTGGGCATTAATTGGCAACATAACAAGACCCCTCTACAGAAGAACCGTTAAACACTATAAAAAAACACTACAATATAGAACTACTCCAAGAACAATCAATAAGAAAACTATACCAACAACGTCTAGACCAAAAATCAATAGAATTTAGATACGGCAACATCGAAGAAATATACGAGCATATAAAGGCGAGTATAAAAAAAGCAGCATTCCAAGCCCTTGGAGAAAAAAAACATATAACAAATAAGCAGCACTATTATGAAATAAATGAACCAACAAAAACAATAAGTGAAGAAAAAAAGCAACAGGAAATGGCTGATTACAAACAAGGATGAAGTTTATAAAGAATATAGAGAAAAAGAAAGAGAAGTAAAAAAACAAATAACACAACAAAAGAATGAAGAATGGGAAAGAACCTGCTTAAATATTGAATCATACATAGGAGGTACAAGAACTTCGGAGTCATGGAAAATGCTGAGAGGATTGCAACAAAACTCAAAAGAAAAAATTAAATTGGGAAATATACAGGACAAAGAATGGAAGGACTATTACTAGGAACTGTTAGCAGAACAAAGACCACAATTCATTGGAAAAGAAAACAGGCGAAGATGAAGCAGATCTCCACAACAAGAAATATAAATAACAGGTAGGGAAATGAGAACGGCTATAAAAGTAATCAA